CCCTTACCCCCCCCCCCCCCCCCCCCCCCCACCTTTTCGGACCACCTCAAACGTAAGCGGAGCACCTTATCGACAAAACGGCTCTGCAATCAAGGGTTCTGGACTCTGGCGACAGCAGTTGGCCGTAGCTGTGGCTTTGCTCAAGCGTGGAATGCGCGCGGGTTGGGGGCCAGGGCGTCGAGCGTGCTTGGCGACCTGGCCGTGATGCAGCCCATACCATTGACAAACTCGGGTCGCTGCCGCTCCAAGACTGACGACTTGGGAAAGCTGCGGTTTGGCGATGCCAGGCCCTTGCGGAAGAGCACGCGAGCGCTGGCTCAAAGAAACAATACTGCAAGAAAACAGGCAAGTGTAGTATTATACGACCATATTATCATTATTGTTTTCTAAGAAATCACAGTAAATCTTTCACACTCTCTCGCTTCGCCTGCCGACCATTGTGCCGTTCCCGACGTTGGGGTCAGTGTAGATGGACACGGTGTCGGTGCTGTTGTTGTAGTCAACGCCGCAAGCCTCTGTGAATCCCTTGAACATTCCCGTGCGTTCGGCCACGTAGCTTTCGAAGGCAGAGCGGGAGCAGGTGGTGCCTGGACCATCCGCGCAGGTAGGGATGGGCTGCGGAGCACTGTTGACGAGCACACGATAATACTGACCGTCGGCGAAGCCGTAGCTACCTGAGCAGTTGAGACGCTCGATGGCCAGGTTACCGAGGAAGGGGATGATGTGCGAGGTACGCCATGCGCGACGATGGTTGATGCGGTCGAGAGGCATTGTGTCATTTATGGAGGCTGCGCTACCGCCTGCGAAATGGTCCGAGTTGTTGAAGAGGCCCATCGCAACCATGGCCATGGGCGGCATCTCGCGATGGGTGACACTGACGTACAGATCCTCCCGAGACGAAGAGCGGTCGTCGGACAAGAGGAGGTTGGCCGTGGCGTTGAACCAGGGCATGCCGATGGAGCCCACGACCGCGTTACCATAGCCCGCGTTGTAGAAGTAGCGCAGGTCCTCGGAGTACTCCCACGCCAGCCAGTCGTCGGGGGTGAACAGATCAAGGTCGCAGAAGCGGGAGCGGCCGCGGATCACGGTCTCGTAGCCGCAGAACTGCATCATGCCAAAGACATCCTCAGTTGTGAAATTAAAGCCCGGGGCCACTGAGTTCAGGCGCGCCTTGATGGGGTCCGTGAACCTTTCTTGAAAGGCTGAGGATTCGTCGCTGCCCGCGGACGAGGAGTAGGCCGGGCAGCCCTTGTAGGGAGTAAGCCCGTCGGCGCCGGACTGCTCCGACTCGTAAATGCTAACGACATTGATGGTGTTGTCGTCGAGCTCGAAGCCGCGCACGATGGAGGCGGCGGACCGGAACGTGCGCTCGGCCGAGGAGGCGTAGATCTTGGGCGGGACCTTGAGATGTGGGTACCGGAAGAAGAGGTCCACGCCGAGCTGCGTAGCCTGCAGCTTGCCGACGCGAGTGAGGAGGCTGGCCTCGGCCTCAGAGACGGGTGCTTCCCAGCCTGCAAGGAAGTTCAAGTCGGGGACCTTGGACCAGTCGACGGTGCCCGTCTTGTTGGACAGCTTCTGGACGAAGGGCTCCATGTAGGTTTCGAAGTCAAAGTCGTTGGCGTAGATGGACCCGTGCCGGATGAGGTAGGCGGCCCGCTCGGCCGTGCATCCCTGCGGCGCGTCAGGCGAGGCGGGCGGGTCCAGAGGTTCAAAGTACGGGGAGATGCCGGTCAGATGGTGCAGCGGGTTGAAGCGGTACTGCGAGTTGAGCGTGCTGGCTACCGCGAGGGAGGCCAGCAGCACAACCGCGCGGGCAGGCGAGAGTGGAGAGCCCATGGTGTTGTCGCACGGCTAGAGCGAAGGGCGGGCGACTTCAACGAGATTTGATGGTATGGGACAGAAGTTAAACGAGGGCACGGCTGGTATAACAACATCAGACGCCATCTCGATGCTGGCCCCGGGTCGCCCGGAATTGCCAACTTTTCTGTTGTTCCTGCTTCCTGCAAGGTACGTGGCCAGCGTTGGACGGCAGTTGCAGGAGTCGCGAGCGTCATTCTGGTCTGGGGATCGACAACCGCCGTCCAGGGTCGCAGCCAATCGGGATGTTGTCGTTTGATGTTTGCTGGCGCAGGGAAGGAAAATTTCACGGCTCAGTTGGCTGACGTCACTACCCGAGTCTGGCGGGTTAGGCACCCGGGCAGGCGCACCTGCCCACTAAAGCCAGTAAGACATCGGACCACAGACGCGAGGAATACACGGCTGGGAAGTCGGCTGGAATTATTACAGAGAATATAGCTCGTAACATTTGGGCCAAGTTACGGAGATGGATGCTTGCAGTGGGGTTCCATCGTTATTACGCTCCATCTCCCTGGCGTTGCACCCTTCCCATTCTCTGCCATTCTCCTCGTTTGATCATTCTCTAGAGTCCCCGGCGATATGTCATCCAACATTTCACCCAACCCCTGTGTTGACTTTTCACCCCGATCGGCAATGACCCGGCGTGAGCATGTTGAGGACGAGATCAGCCCCCACGCGCCCGGCCAGCTGGCTCGCGACCAGGATTTCGACAAGCTTGGGCGGCGCGTACCACATCAGCATGTCGGCCTTTGCCGGATCCGAGAGCGATGTAAAGATTCCGTCCTGCGCGCGCCAGTCCTTAGGTAACACGCCCGGGTAGGCATGCGTCACTTTTGATACAAGGCACATGCGCCAGGGGTGTCGGCTTTGGCCGCCGTGGCGCGTAGCTTGGGCAGCAGCAGCAGCGGCAGCAGCGGCACGAGCAGGAACGAGTCGACTGCCTTGACGCCGAACGACAGCTCGCAGCCGCTGGCAAGGCTGAGCCGGAACTCGGCCAGCGCTAAGCCTGCTTTCTCGACTACCGTATGGAACCGGCCCAGGGACGACTCAGCGCGGTCGCGAACGTCTTGATCGACTCCGTAAACACTAGGCCGAGGTCAAGACTCGAAGGCGTAGGGTTCCCGCCTAATGCTTTCTGGGGCTTCGCGGCGTTCGCCGGCTCGCCGACCTCGACGTTGCGAACCGCTATTATCAGCTTGTCGGGGCCGAGGCGTGCCACGGCCGGGAAGAGTATCCGGGGGCCAGGCTCTCCAAGGCCAAAGGTGAGACTTCATTTAAATTTGGTTCCCACTCCCATCTCTGGAGCCAAAGGCTCGTCAAATCACTCACGCACCATCTAGGATGGACTTGGCATGTTCACACCCTCTTCCCATGCACACGAGATAACTTCTAGTGTCGCCGGTAACGTGCGCCTGGGTGCACCAATACGAAAAGAACGCCCATGCGGAAAGATTAAACCAGGGTATCAGCCTTGAACCATGGATCCGCGATTGATATACACCTGCTTTGGGGCGCCATCTCGACCCCAAACACCAGAGCCCCCAGCTTTAACACTGAAATTTGGGAATTGTGTTTTCCCCATCCACCCAATCGTGAATTGGGCGAGAGAAAGGCTGCGGCGCGAGGTGCGGCTCAAATCATTAAATATCAATGACATTGGGGGCTGACCACACAGAATGGCAGCACTTCCCAGGCACTAGAAATTGCAGGGGTGGTTGGGGGTCGAGGCAGGAGCGCGTGAGCTGAGCAAGCCCGAGGGGATGTTTTACGCAATAACTAGGACAGCTCGCCCTGCTCCGTTCGCGTTATCATGCGAGCGAAGATGCTTACTGCAAATATCTCAGTACCCGCAGATATCTCGCCAAGAATAGCCTTGTCACCGAACAGAACGTCATCCCACACATGACTGACGCCAGCGGTCCGCAAAGAGTTATCTTTGAAGGCCTGGAGGTGGTCATCCCCGGCTTGGAATGGGTGGCATCACCCGAGGGTCCTGAAAAAGGGCCGTGGTCAGCGACAACAGCAGTTGACGTGGATGGCTGTATCGGACAACCTCGCGGCAATGCCTCCAGCAAGCGCATACAGCTGGGACCTTGGGCGATCCTCGCGGCCGCCTTTTTCCTCGGCGCCCTCATAGGCAGCGCCATCGTGGGGGGTACGCTGGGCTCCGTCCTGTCCACCCGACCTCCGGCTTCGCCGTCCGTACCCGGCGGCCAAACATTGTCCACTTCTCTAGCCTCGGAAACTAGGACGGAAAGCACCACCACCACAGCCACCAACACCTCTCCCGCGGCCTCGTCAACGCGCACCTCGGCCACAGCCTCACCGACGACGAGTGGCGCGGCCCCTACCCTACTGGCGAACTTCGAAGTCGTGCCGCCGGGCAACATCAGCACGCTGGCCTTTGGCTGTCCGGCGCAGGGCGGGGACAAGGCAGCGACGGTGCATGGGGTGATATTCCGTATCGAGTGCTACAAGGACTACCTCAGCTTGTACGACGGGAAGGAGGCGCCGGGGAAGATACACGACATCGCGGCCATCCTGGCCTACACTTTCGAAAGCTGCGTGGCGGCGTGCGTTAGCTACAACGTCCTTTCGGCGCGGCTTGAGCCCCCCAGGCCGTCCTCGCTCGTTTGCCGCGCCGCCGTCTTCCGCCGGAGGCTGGCGGGCGATGGACCATTTGCTGACACAGGCGGCAACTGCTTCCTGAAGAACGCAACTGTGGTGAACGAGGGCGGTGGGTGGGTCAACACGGACGTTGTGACGGGGGTCCTGATCCCGGGGACCTGACGCCTTGCCGAATGCAGGTTCAAGGCATACGAGAAATGAGGGGGCAAAACATTATGATTATTACTCCCAGGTCGAAGTAAATTACAGCGAGGCAGCCTGGAGAGAGCATTTCTCTTGGCGATTTCCTGAACCCATGCTATCATGTGACAGATGCTTTGCCCTTATGGGTCCCAGATCGCCCTTGGCCAGAGCTTATACACAAACCAAGCCTTTCTCACGTCATATCTGGATGGAGAACTCCAAGGGTCTCTCCAAAACTCTCAGATCAACACTGCAGCAAATGCAACAGCGCCGGCAAACATGCCCAGTCCGACAGACCTCAAGGCCGAGCCGCCGCTCGCCGCCACGGGCGAAGTACCAGATGCCGCCGCGGGCGAGGTACCAGATGCCTTGGCCGGCGCAGCACCAGAACTCGACCCGGTCGCGGCAGCCGAGGCCGAGCCTGCCGCGGAGGAAGCAGGCGTCTGGCCGGCGGTGGCGGCCGGAGCCTTGCCGCCGCGCAGCTCGGGCGGCACCGTCTGCTCCTCGGCGCGGGTCTTGCCCTGCTCGTTGACCCAGAAGATGGTAGGGTTGGCGGTGCACGAGACGACAGGCATGCCCCCGGCACCCCCCTCTGCCGACATCCGCTCGGCCAGCTCGGTGCACTGGGCCATGACGGCCTCGGCCGTGCTCGACGCGCCCGCGTACCACGACGCGATCCTGGGCACGTACGACTTGTAGTCGGCGCTCAGCGACTCGGGCATGGTGGCGGAGCAGAGCCCGCCGTCCGTGGCTTTGAACAGGTTATCGCCGGCCCACTGTACGAGCGCCGGCCCAGGCGTGGGCATGGTGAGGTAGACATCCTCCAAGGACTTGTAACACTCCGAGATGGACGCAGGGGGCGTGTGGGTGCGGCTGCCGCGCACGGCGAGCGGCCTCGGCGGCGCCGTGGGGATGGGGAAGCGGAGGTCGAAAACCGCGTGCGGGGCCTGGGCCTGGGCGGCGGCGGTGCCGGCCAGGGCCGCGACGGATGATAGGATGGTGGCCGTGAACTGCATTTTGGGTGTTGGTGCTCGACGAGGGGCTGATGGAATTGTGCGTTCGGTTCCGTGTCGGGTCTGGAGCCTCGAGGACGCTGGTCGATGCTTGTACTTCCACCGGGTTTGTAGGCTGTTGAAAAAGGAGTGTGTGCCTGTGAGCCTGGGCAATGTGAAAAGAAGCGAAGCCTGCCGGACCGCCCTTCCTTATATGGGCCTGCTCGGTCCTCGCTGGCTCACGATGCTCCACGGCAGCGGAGCAATGTTTAATTCCAAGTCGCTGGCTCCGAATCCCCCTGAATTCACCACGCGGAGCCGACCCCGGCAGTAGCAGGCAGCCACTGGCGCTAATAGGCCACGACTGGCCTTGAACCCATTCTTTTACAGCTATAATCCATCAAAGGTGGAGCAGTGAGGCCAGACATCGAGACCAACATCTATTTGAGTGGTGCGGAATTGGGGATGGTTGGTGGCCCCAAATGAGCTTTTGAGCGGACGCATGTCTTTGCCGTTCCATTCGACCCCTGTTGAGGTTTGAACCGTGGTAGATTGTTGGCTTCCGAGCCGCAGGCCTGGTGCAATGGCTGTATTCGGAATGCTGTACCTCAGGGGCCAGCATGATCAGCCAGCATCGTGGGCCTTCTTCTACACAAAGCAGCAGTCCATTTAAGCTCTTCTCTTCTACACAAATTGCTGTCCAGCCCGCATGTCCCCACCGAGCTCCAGTCGCCACTTCCAATCAGTCTGGCCAGCCCCAAAGCCCTGTCCCGCAGCGCCCCGCTGCCTCCTCACCAGACGGGATGATTTCCTCCGGTATCCTGCCAGGCGCGAGCAATTGCTCATTTTCCCCCATCTGATATTGTTTGAACAAATACCGGCCAGGCCCCAACCTCCGACACATCAACGTCCTTCCCCTTAGGAGCAGCCAATTGGTGCCGGCTTCGCTGCATTCAGCTTGTTGAACAGCAGCCCAATGTCGGCCAAGTTGACAGGCTCTTGCGCGCGGCACCATCCCTCCGCAGCCGGGAGACGTTCCTCTTCTGTATTTCGATTGTACCCCGTGTTAGCAAACTCAACGACACCTTCCACGAAATGCTCGTAGAGGTATCCAAACGAAAGTAACTTTATAGGCTACGCACCGAATAAAGCTCTGACGTAGTCCCTACGAACGGTCCCGTTGACCTTGTCGCCCAAGGCCGACATGAACAAGGCCGTGGCTCCGACCGCGAGCCTTTCTTGATCCTTGGTCAGGCCAAAGCCCGGGTTTGATGCCTTGGCCGCGACAAGCCGCTGCACAACCGCCCTGGCGGCATGCTCAGGGTCGATGACAGGCTCGGTGAACCACGCGCGCGTCGCGTTCCAGATGGTGGGGTTAAAGCTGTGGTTGTCACCGAAGAAAGCGTCGTTCCGGCTGAGGCTGCTGTCATGCTCGATCGCTGGAAAGACACGCAAGGAGCGAGAGCATTAGCTACGTGAGCTGGAAAACAGCCAGGACAGCAGTTCTCTCACCGTTGTGCTTGTTGATATCATCGAGATGGAAGGTGTTATTGTTGCCCGTGGTCGATATGGACAAGCCCATCGTCACCAACTTCTGGATTGTATCGCGTGAAAAGTTTATCCCCTCGTCGACGGCCTTGAAGTATTGTTCAGCCGAGATGTTGAACCCATCGCGGGGAAGGTAGCCGTGGTTCGCGAGCGCGTTCAGTCCCGGGCAGGGGCTGCGACCTGCATGGCCAGATATGTGAGATGGTCATCTCCCGATACAAATCATTGAATTCATCGTGTCAACTTACGGTCTCCTGGGCCAGGAGCTTTCCAAGGGTGATCGTCGAGGCCCATCGGGCATCCACCAGCGGTGGTGAGCCCGATGACAAGGCCGGCCACAAAGAGAATGCTCCCCTTCATGCTTGGTGAGGTGATGGACTCGTCGACTGCTTTCGGGAATTGTGCTTTAATTATCAGGCTTGATTCCGAGCTCTTTTGCCTTGAGGGTGCGCTCTCAGCTTCACATACACAGAAGGAGTCGGCGGCTCACTTGTTTATATGCCTTTCTCCCGGTGGAAATCCCGCCAGCTTGATATCATCTGCTCGAACCGTCAGAGGCTTGTCGTCGGCCCTCGGCGCAATCCTTCACCGTCTTTTCTCGCCCGGAGTCCGTCGGCTTACGGCGATGATGCCGCCAGCGCACAGCCGACATGCTGACATACTGACAAAGTCCATTACAGGGAGATGCGAATTTGGAATTTCTGTGGCTATGGCCCTCAGAAATCCACCTCGGCCACAGGGATCAACGATATCGGCGCCTGCGCTAGCCTTGAAACCAATGTTAAAGCAGCCCGACGTTGCAGGTCAGCCCACTCCAGTCAACATGATTTGGAAAACAGCCGCGGGCGCAGGGCAAATCTCACTTAGTGATTATTTATCAGAACGTCAATCCGTTATTACCCTCTCCGCCCTTATTCGTGGCAATTGTCGCTCCGCTGGAGGCCCAAGGCAGTCCAGTGCCCCTGCAAACGTATCCTTTAGCTCCGAAGGCATAATGAACATGAAATTCTCGGCTGCATTACCTCAGCCTCGTGCGGGGCAAGCCACCAGCATCACCTCGCAGTACGCAGTGTGGCTGCCCGGTCACCACCAGGTGGAGCTATCCGTCATACCCCGCTCTAGATGTCGTTGTAACGACGTATTTCGTCCCAAAAGAGACCGAGCACATGCAATCATATATATTTTACTGCAGATAGGGTCCTCGCCCAACCTTTTGACCGATGACCTCAGCACCGATGGGTCACAAGCCGGAGACAGCCAGACGAAGAGTGGCTAGTACCCGCAGACGTTACACTCGCCTATCGAAGGTTCCGCGGCTAAATAGACCGTGACCAAGGAATTAGGAGCTATCAAGCCAATAAATACACCCCCAGGTTACATTGTGCGAAGCCAAGGTCATAGTGATGCCTTTTAACAGCAAAATCATAGGAGCTCGCATGTGCAGGATGCTGTGCCCACACCACCAAAGCGAATAGCTGCACGCCGCACACGCACGATGCTACTCCGCAAAGGTCCCCTCGGAGCAAATATTGCTTGGTGGCTTCGTATCTCGTACTTGGCCTTCCTACATGCGGCCGTTCCGTCTTGGAAAATATCTTGGTCTCTACTGCTGAGCTACTTAGTCCTGGTGGTTGTCGCGAATATATAAGGGTGCGGATGTTGCGCAGGTCACTGCCGTGTCTTATTTCTTGCTCACATGGCTCGGGATCCAACTGCCGCTCTCATACTTCCAAAGTCTCATTCAGTTAGCCCGAGTCATAGAGTATCATATCGGTCCCTCAGCATGATATCAACCAAGACGCTTGTGCTCCTCATAGGGGCCATTACCTCTAGGACTGTTATGGCCGCCCCCGTGGAGGCTCCTACTCCTGCTCCTCCCCTCGTCGAGGCCTCTCCAGGGCTTGATGCCGTCCCCAATACGGTTCCTACACAGCTCCCAGAGACCCAAGACGCCAGCGCTCCGGGCATGATTGAGGGAACATACATACAATTCTGGAAGGATCCCGATTTCAGAGGCCAGACCATCTCCACCATTCTTGACAGAGGACAAGGGGCCTGCTGTAAGTCCACGGAGAGAAACTTCGGCGCCGTCCATAGCATCACTGACCTTTCCCATGGAAATGTAGATTCCTTCCGGGGCGATCGTTGGAGCCAGTGGAACAAGGCCATCTCATCGCTTAACATCCTCGAAGGCGGACCTTGCTGGCTCTATGAGTTCGTAACCCTTCCAGCCAGATATTCCTTGCTTTTCCTATTCTTATTCTGCATGGTGCCAAGTTCTTCATGTCAAACTAACTTCGATGTCAGGGGTTTAAGCTGCAGCGTCTCTTCCATTGGTCCCATCCGAAAGGACAATCCGATCCCTGACTTGGGGGTGTATGGCTGGGCCAAGAAAGCTGGCTCGATCTCATGCAGCACGTAGGCATCCAGCTAATTATAACCAGGCTGGTGTGTGGGATTGGAGTGCAGCGTAGCACTTGAGGGGTGGGGGAGTGAACCACAACTGCGTATGGGAACCAATGGTGCCTACAGTGGTGCCCCCATGATGTTCAGCTAGCTGCCAATGGTGTCGGTCGTAGAAAATTCGGGATAATTTGTTCCAAGTCTTGCTGCATCTCTCCGAATTGGGCGAAAGTCCATTTGGTTGTGGTCGCCTCAGGCACGTGGGCTGAGCATGTATTTCCCGTTGCTGCCTAAACTGCACCTCCAGCCTACCCTGCCCTTCGCCTCCTCAATTCCCCATGCCTACTATCTACTCTTATCCTCAACACGAATATTCCTCACCTACCTGTTACCATCTGACCAGCTGGGGAAAGGACACGTGAAGATGGACCCTATCAGCGCGCTTTCCATCGCGACAAGCATCATCGCCTTTGCCGACTTCGGAAACCGAATCACCTCCGTCTTCAGCGCCTTGTCCGAAATCCGTCGATCGGATGACGGTCTGCCCAGAATGTGCTCCGCCCTTGTGGCGGAGGCGAATGCACTGTCTAGTCATGTGGAAGCCGCAAAGGAAACCGTCTTGAACCTTCGGGCACGCTATCCCAAACGAGCCAAGGAGTTCGAACGCCTGGATAAAGACTGCACGCTGGCTGGACAAGAGCTGCATGCCTTGCTTGCCAGCCTGAAGCCTCGCCCAGGCACGGACTTGAAATCCCGCACGTCTCAGGCCATCACAGCCGCTCAGGGGCTTCGGAAGGGAGGCGACATCAAAGCATTGGAGGAACGCTTCGGCAGAATCCGACAACAAACACAGTTGAGCGTAACAATGTGCATCTGGTAGGATTCTCTCCACCGGCATGGCGCTTACAGTTTCCACAGCTCCTTCATCCGTGCCGTGATTCCCGTAATCCAAGATCCTAACCTGCTGCACGGCCCGCACCGGCTACTAATTAGGGAGGATGTCGAGGTGCTCAAAAGCCAACAAAAGGCGACAGACAGGAAATTTAACGAGGAAATCCAGTACGACGCCAGTCCAACGAGCCGAGACCAGCTACAGGCGCCCGGATCCCGCCGGAGAAATGTACTATGGGAGTCAACAGCACCAGCTCTGGAATTCGCCGGCCCGGTGACCCATGTACCGCAGCACAGTGACTCCAGCAGCCCTCTGGTTCTCAATGCACTCAGCACCGTTCAGCAGAGAATTCTGGAAGGTCTGATATTCGAAGATATGGTGGCCCGCAAAAAGCAAATCCAGTCACCCTTTCCCAGGACCTTCGAGTGGCTCCTTAGAAGCAGCCCTCTCGCATGTGGTGAAGCTTCTCTGCCCCAGCACAATCCTCAGACACACTTCACCAAATGGTTGGCAGCCTCCAGCGACACCCCATTCTGGATCACTGGCAAGCCAGCCTCGGGGAAAAGTACTTTGATGAAATTCATATGCACAGACCCGAGGGTGAAAGAAGGCCTGAAATTGTGGTCTGGGAGCCTTCGACTCGTCGTATGCGACATTTACATATGGAACGCGGGGTTCTCTAGGCAAAAGGATCAACTTGGCCTCCTGCGCACCATCCTATACCAGATTCTTCTTCAAGAGCCACAGCTTTGTTACCATGTCGCTCCGAAGCACTATCTGTACTTTCAGCTCCCTGTGGACATCATTCCTGATTCCCCCGACTGGACCGTCGATCAGCTTCGAGACGCCATCACCCGAGTTGCGTCGGCTGCTCAAAGCTCGCATCGCTTCGCCATTTTCATCGACGGTTTGGACGAGTACGAAGGCGATTTGCCGGACCTGGTTGAGTTCCTGAAAGGGGTGTGCGAGGGTCCTGCCGTTAAGCTATGCGTTTCCAGTCGCCCTTGGAACGTCTTCAAAGATGCCTTCCATACTTTTCCCTCGCTCAAAATGGAGCTTCTCACCAAGCCCGACATTGAGGAGTACGTGCAAAAGCGAATGGCAGGGAGTCGGGCATTCCAGGAGCTTCGGTGCATTGACGCATCAAGTGTAGACAACCTCGAGTCCCAGACCGTGGAGAAATCAGAGGGCATATTCCTATGGGTGGTGTTGGTGGTCGAGAGTCTCTTGATTACCGCCCAGGACGACGGTAACCTTCAAACCATCTGGAAGGTTTTTCAAGCATTGCCACCCGGACTTGATCAGCTTTACAGTTCGATGCGCTCCCGGCTCGACCAAGCGAGGCTTGAGCAGGCATCCAAGATGTACCAGATTCTTTTCCAGTGGAAGACCATCAAAATAGAGAACCAAATGATGCCCGACATCGACTTTTGGGTAGCGGCGAACCACGACGAGGACCTTACACCGCCGACAAACAATTCAGCCCAAGCCACAATCAAGCCCCTCCTCGAGCGGCAAGTCGGTGGTTGTACCGGAGGCATGGTCCAAATCGTCATCAGCGACCGTGGATGCTTCGTTGATTTTCTTCACCGCACGGTTTATGACTGGCTGAAGGAACAATGGACCACATTGATCAACGATGGGCCGGCGGACTATGACCCTGCCATGGTCATTGCATCAACTCTCGCATTGAGAGGTTGGTGGGAAAGTTTCAGAGATATCTTCGCCTTTGGGCGACTCTGTAATGAGTCGTTAGCATCCAAGGCTGCGATGGTTCGCATCGTCGACGGGCTCAGGCCCGATGATGTCCAACAAAGTCTGCGTGATATCGCCCCAATCTACGCGACAACCAACACGCCCATGCTTACCTCACAGCTTTCCGATGAGCAGTCGCGGGTCTTGATGGCCATCGGTTACGCTTGGGCGCCGTATCTCGAAGCTAAGCTCGAAAATGGCCTGCTAGAGCAAGTGTGCGGGTTCCCCAGACGCCGTCTATTTGGGGTGCCAATGCCATTCAAAAGCAAAACTCCAAAATACCTGCTACCGGCTCTCGCGTATGCAATAACGCCGCCGGTTTCACCCCATATAGAGTTGGATCATATCACTCGAACAGTCAGGGTGCTTCTACAGATCCCATCGATCCCTAGAAAGGAGATTATAAAACAGATTCGGCAGCAGTCATATGGGCAGGGAGGGCAGAGCAGGTATAAATGGGAAATTTTGGAATTGTTAGAGGGGAGATCCACCACGAACAAAGCTGGGTAGAGGGCTTGGTGGGAGACGGATTGTTCAAGGGCAATGAACCGATTTTGGGCCAAGTTTTCTTGACATGCAATTTACTAATATCCATCAATTAATCCACAAAATATCAGCCCCCCTCCAAAAGACCGGTTAATCCGTCTCACTGTTCATCCCCAGTCTCGCCTCCCTCAGTCTGGTCGAGATCAAAGGGGTACTTGTCGGAATCGCCGTGGTCGACATACTTGTCGAAGCTGTTGCCCTCGCCCTCGAACTCGCCCATCAGCAGCTGCATGGCGTAGCACTTGGTGACCTTGCCGCCCGTGACGCTGTAGGCGACGTCGGGGCTCTCGAGCATCTCGACGCCCTTGACGGGGTCGGCGGCGACGAAGAGGCGCGGGGACGAGCCGTCGGCGTAGCCGCACATGACGGGGTAGAAGACGTTGTAGTCCGGGTCGACGGCGAGGTAGTAGTAGCCGTCCTCGGCGTTGAGGTCGTCGGGCGACAGGGCCACGGGCACGGCCTGCTTGGGGATGTCGGCCTCGTCGCCGACGAGCAGGCGCGAGACGCCGACGGCGGCCATGGTGTTGGCGTAGTAGTGAATGAGGCGGGTGGCGCCGTCGGCGACGACGATGTCCTCGTACGTGGCCCACATCTCGGTGCAGTACTCGATGTCGGCGTTGGGGTCGACGGCGTAGATGGCGCCTGTGGCGCAGGCGATGAACATCATGGAGCCGTCCCGGACGGTGAGGAGCGAGTACTCGTAGCCGTTGCTGGTGTTGTAGGGGCTGTTGGGCATCGAGGTCGGCGTGTAGGTCAGCTCGGTGACGTTGGACTTGACGGAGCTGGTCATGTCGCGGATGGTGCCGTTGGAGGGGGCGGCCGTGGCGTTGCCGAACTTGGTTGTGGCGCGGCGAAGCTTGGGGAAGGCGGTGCCGCGCGTTTCGATGCTGGCGTCGTTGCCAGAGCCGCTAGGCTCGGAGGCGGAGTCGTTGGGTTCGGTGCCAGAACCGGTGGGGTCGGGACCGCTGGGCCCGGATCCAGAGCCAGAGCCAGATCCTGAGCCCGAACCTGCGCCAGCCTCAGAGCCGTGCGTTCCCTCCGGGTCGGTTCCAGATCCTGTACCAGTGCCTGGCTCGGAGCCTGAGCCAGTTCCAGAACCAGGGTTCTCAGAGCCTGTCCCGGCCCCGGGATTCTCGGACCCAGAGCCCGAGCCGGTTCCAGCACCCGGGGTTTCAGTGCCAGAGCCTGAACCAGGGTTCTCTTCGGATCCAGAGCCAGGCCCAGTTCCGGAACCTGAACTGGAACCAGAGCCTGCATCGGGACGACCAGGAAGCTTGATGCATCCGCGGGCGAGGATCATGTCTCCAGTGTCGTGCAGGGGCTTGCCCATCATCTTGCCAGCGAACTCGAGGAAAAGCACGTTCCTCCAGCTGATCTGCGTGCAGATGCCCGTGCAGCAGTTGACATCCTTGAAGCCGGCCGAGAAGGAGCCGGCCGGGGTCAGGCTGACCGAGGCGGCGACCTGGGCGGTGGCCTTGATGGAGGGCTCGTCGACGATGCCGCCGTCGAGCTTGAAGCCCGGCACAGCGATGCCCAGCTTGATGCCGATGGGCAGGCCGAGCTCGGCCGAGATGACGATCTCGCCCTCGGCCTCGAAGACGGGGTTGAACTTGGGATCCCAGCCGGCCTTGTTGCTCTTGGACGAGTCGAGCAGGTCGAGCGTGGCCCTGCAGCCGGCCAGGCCCATCTCGGCGCCGGCGAGCAGACGGCCCTTGGCCAGGGCCGTGAAGCCGACGCGCACGCCGGCCTCGACCCAGGGGCCGATGGTGATGACGCCGTAGCTGAGGCCGGGCAGGCCGACGCGCAGCAGCGTGGTCTTGATGTTCTTCTCGTACCGGATCTGCGCGTCCACGCCCAGCTTAAGCTTCATATCGGCGTCGGCCTTGACGTCGACCGTGGCCGAGATGATGCCCGTGGGCAGCCAGGTGACCTTGCCCGTGATGCTGATGGAGCCCGAGGCTCCGCAGCCGACACAGAAGATGTTCATGTAGCCCGAGAGGCCCTCCTTGCCGGCCTCGACGGCGCTCTGGTCGCCGAACGACTTGATGAGGATGGCGTCGCCCCACGACGACGTGACCTGTTTGGTGCCGCCCTGCAGCTTGTTGGCGTCTGAGCCGGGCTTGCTGGGGTCGGGCAGGCGGAAGGTGATGTCTTTGTTGAGCGTCGTCGTCGGGGGCTTGCCGCCGTTGGCGATCAGGATGATGGCCGAGGCGGGGTACGTGATTGGGGCCGTGACGACCTTGACAAACGTCTTGGCGAGCTTCTTGAGCCACCCCCAGCGCTTGATGTTGAGGTGGTCGATCTCAGACAGCCCATCCGCATCCCTCTTTGCCAGATCCATGCCATCCATGTCCATCCCGGGCGCCATCATCTTGACAAACTCGTTAAAGCTAGCGCTGAGGCCGCCCGCGTCTCCGAGGTTCTCGTCGAGATCGGCATCGAAGTAGTCGCCCCAGCACGCCGTGGGGAGACCGTACTTGGTGTCCTCAGGCGCGTAGCAAGCGCCGGTCTCTCCAAAGTTGCTCGTCGAGTTGCCGTCGTCAGTCGTGGTGAAGGTGGAGTTGGATCCTGCGCGGCCGGTGGGGAAAGGGGCGCGGGAGGAAGTGACCGAGCTGGCGTGCGAGAAGGTTCCAGAGGACGAGGCAGCATTTCCTCCGGAGGGACCGCTGGAAGAGGTCGGGGAGGGAGCGAGAGTGGCGGAACGGACCGACGTCGCGGAAGCTGTCGAGTCGCCGCTGGGCCTCGGGGCGCGGTTCGGCTCCCACCACCCCCAGTTCGCTTCTGCCTTGTCCATAATGGTCTCAGGGTCCTTGAAGGAACCCTTGACCATGATGACGAGCCGTCCTGGAAGTCGATTGCGGTGACGCTGAAGAAGCAGCGATCACCGTTGGCGTGGCCCGCGCACCCTTTGGTGGAGGCGATCAGGATGAGGTTGGAGTCCCAAGTCTTGACAGCGCGGTCGTAGGCCACCTTGCTAGAGAAGGAAACAGCGCAGCCGGTGGCCGTGCAGGCGACATTGGTAACATAGCCGCAGTTGTCCAGGTTGACGGACGGGGCGCTGAAGTGGTATGTCAGGAAACCGAGATATCCAGACTTGCGCGGGTCTGTCATTGGTGTCGAAGTTAGTAAACATTGGTCAAGAAACACATCATGCCATCTGCTGATCTCCCTTACCAGGCGAGCCATAGTACAGCTGGTTGCCGCTTCCAACATCCACAGGAACGACGTTGCTGATCTTGGACGTATCAGTTCCCCAGTGGATGGCGGGCTTGAGCTTGATGGCCTCAGCCTCCTGCGAGAGGATCGGGCCCGACTTGCTGCCCCAAGACGAAGAGCTGCTTTGTCTCGAGGAGGAGGACGAAGGCTTGGCTGTGGGGCGACCAAAGACTTCCTCAGGAGGGCATTCCGGCTTCTTGGCAGGGCAGCCGTCTTGAGGCTGGGCGTAGACGATGGTGACCTCGAAGCCGCCCGGCCGTTCGATGGACGAGTTCGCCGGCTGTTGGGCAGCCGGGACGGCGACAGCTCCAGAAGCCGCCCAGAGAAGGGCGGCAGCGGAGAAACGCATGGCGATGGGAGACGCAAGGGAAACAAAACTAGGGAGGGACTGAGGGATAATACCCTCGGGTAAGCTAACTGTACAAAGGAGTGACCGGAATCGCCTGTCTTGTGCGAGTGATGGATAGGCAAAACATGGCAGTTACGACGGAGCTATGGTGGTGCTTTTATATGATGCCATTCAGGCGTAGCCATCGTCGGCTTCCGCGACGAAAAGCAAAGCGAACATGGTCTAGAACTCCAATAGCGCCAGAGGTATTTTAGGTGGCACTAGGCATGCGATGTGGCTTGCTGAGCGTCGGGGTTATGGTCCTCCAATTGGGTAAGGCTAGAGCGTTGGACTTCAGCTACTCGGACCAATGCGTTGTGGCACGTTGTTGAATATGCTAGCGCGGGGGGCGCGATGGCACCCGCGACGAAATCAGACGGCCGCAGGCGCTCTCCCGAGGGCTGCGTTTTGGTGGGACCAGATCCCAAAAGCGCGCCTTCCTGTCTGTTGAGAGGAATCATGGTGAAGCTATTCGGAGTCTGTTTTTCCAAGCGAACCCGCAATCGTCGGAAATCTAGACCGCAAACCACTTCACGCGACTGTAGTTGCAGCTACCCACCAAATCGCCAGGCGGTGACACAGTAGCCAGGAAGGCCACCCCCTGACTGGCACATCGGCCCATTCGATAGCAGGCAGTCCCAGCTGAGCGCTTTAGACTTAGCACTCACTAATCCATACGGCGACTCGCGGGTTGGGGACTTGGCAGGACGATGCCTGATGCGAGCACAAGATGAAGAAACTGATGGCGAAGCGGAAACGATAAACCGACTGTGATGTGATGGGTTGTGCATCTCGTTTGTGACCGCACTGTTGGGCCCCGCAGCACGAGGAGGCTGACACTGCTGGCTAGGAAATGGCGCCGCGTCACTGCAAATTTGGCATGGCTTTGACATGGCCTTGATATGTCTACCCTTGACATGGGATACCAGGTCGATTGCGGGCCAGACCTCTGCGCACACGTGCCGGCAGCGGCCTCCCTGGACCGTTGATAGGAATCCCGACTGTTGGCGGCAAGTCTTCACGTTGGCAGGTGATGGACAGCTTGGGCCAAGCGCCAAGCTCGCTCATCAAACCCAGCAGGTCTCGGAAACGTCACGACATCGGACGACGACCCGCGGACGGCCCGAGCTCAGTCGACCGCTCTTTGCAGAATCACAGCAGGCAAGGCTGGCCTGGACCAGTCTGTTCGGGTCCATTGCTTTTCTTTTTTGCCTTGCTTTTGTTTTTCTCATTCGCCTACCGCAACATCCCTCCGCCGCCACTCGCCCTCGACAGATATCGAACTAACGCTAGCAGCGGCCACCAAATTCATGCCTTCATGCTGCCCATCCATACGGCTGATGGCATCCAACAGGGCGGCACGCCTCCCGCTGTCGCCCGCTGTCGCTCCAGCGCTCGGAGCAGCATGATGATCCACAAGCCGCGATCCGTTCCCTGTCCGCTTTGACGGATGGGACGAAGACCCACCACCATGTGTTACATTCCATGGAAGATCCGTGGCTCGCCGCCCCAGTGAGTGCTTAGCGATGTTGCACCATCCCCATCTGCAGGTCCCTCCACCCCCGGAGGGATGGGAAATCATAGCATTTTCCAGCACAAACTGCCATTTTGCGGGTTCCATCAAGCGCCCCTTTCTGTTTCGATATTTCCCGGGGGGTCATTTTGCCGATGTTTGGTAGCCAAGGCCACCGGCTCGCCGCCCCGCGGCGCTCGAGATATCCATGATCGCCGCCGCGGGGAATGCGGATCGAGCACACGTCCGGACGAATACAAAAAGATGGCTGCCTCTGCGTCCTTGGTCCTGCTTGCTATTGATCTTCATCCCACATCAAGCAGGCTCTCTCTCACTCTCTTCCACTCTACCTTCTTTTTTGAGTTGATCTCAACCTTTTGCCAAGTTCTGTGAACTTTTCCATTCTCTCAGCTCTTTACCATTCCTCTTTTTTAATCCCTTTACCTCTTCATCGTCAATATGAAGGTTACCACCTGCATCGCTATGATCCTGGCTGCGGCCACCTCCGCTGCTGCCCTGCCCATGGCGCAGCCCATTGGCAGCACCAGCACCGCTCTCCAAACCCGCCAAAACCGCAACAACCAGAACAACCAGAACAACCAGAACAACAACAACGGCAACGGCAACAACAACAACAACAACAACGGCGGCGGCAACAACAACGCTGGTGGCGCCGCCGGTGGCGCTGCCGGTGGCGCCGCCGGCGGAGCCGCCAACTTCGGAACCTGCGTCCCTACCATCGAGTTCGCCCTGGGCCGGCCCGGCCGCCAGGCGAACCAGGGCACGTTCCTGCCCGTGGACCCGGCCATCCTGCGCGGCCAGTCCGACGCCCTGGCGCCCGGCATCATCATGAACCGCGTGTGCGATCAGCTCAACTCGCGGACCTGCGGCGCCAACCAGGCCGCCATCCAGCAGTGCCTGTCCGCAAAGGCCCAGGTCGAGGCCGCCGGCACCAGGGACGCAACAACCGCGACCCTGTTTAACAGCTTGGTCCAGTAATGTTCTTGGAGGGGTTGTTCTTTCGACACGTTGCAGGATTTTATGATCTGTTTTGTTTCTCCTCGCTGGAGCCTGTTTCTTGCGATGTTTTGGGCGGGGTTGCGTCTGCTTTAGCTCCATGGTGTATGCTCCTTGGAGAGGCATGGGCCGACACAAAGTGTCTTTCTAGGATCATGAGAGAGAAAGAAGATATTTTGCTGTCGACAGTGTGTTCATTTTTCTTGCTTGAATGTGCCCCCTATCTTTGTCCTCGTTCTTTTGAGTGGTGGCCTTCTACACAAGACCTCTGATCCGGCCATGGAAAGGGCAGCAATTCGCCCCAGTTTTTCCACCAGCGAATTTCTCCGCCAATAATCTTGATATTGTGTCCTGCATATTCCCATTGTATTCTCCATTCTCTCTGGAATATCATCAACCCGTAACCGGACAAAAGAAGGCAGGAAACTTGGACCCGGGATGCGGAGGCCTCACACGCCGGCATAAGACGCACTCAGGGCCTCAGGCCCTGTTCGTCACAGGATATCTTGGCACCAAGTCTGGGCACGGCACGGCAGCTCGGTTCTGGAACACGCTGCAAAACGCGATGCAGCCCCTGGCCCAGATTCTTCGCTCGCCGCGGAGTGAAGAGTCCGGTGCGGGGGGGCCGCAGCGGGAATTGCCCAGCTTTGCTCTGGGACATGCTGGATTAAATCCGACTCTGCTTAATCCTAGGTATTGGATCGCAGCGCCAACCAAAGAAGACCAAAGAAAAAGAATGGAGTTGGATTAAGCTCAATGTTGATCTACGAAAGCCAATTCTGCCAAGGTGAGTACTTTTTTCTGTCGACGCCACCAAACCAAACGAGCCCTCCTGCAGCGATTCAGTGCTACCTGGCTTGCTGGATCGTGCAGGTCCAGCTTGACTCGACGCACTGCACCAGCTTGCCCTGTGCTGACTCCAGGCCTACTGCTTACGCCACCGCTCCTAGCATCCCAGTAATCTGCCTAAATTCGACCGGCGATCCGCTGTCGTTCAGGGACCCGACCGCAGCACGTGCCGCAGCCTGGCGCCCCGTCGGGGCGTGCATGCCGCTGGTGAGGAGCACGTAGCGCTCGCAGCTCCCAGCGCCGGGGACGCACGCAGAGCCGGGGGACGCGAGCACACACCCACCCATGTCGGCGCTGAGCAGGACGGCGAAGACACCCCCGCCATGTCCCGGGAGATGCCGGACCGCGCCAAGGTCCAGGACGCCGTGGGCCAAGGAGAGATCTGGCGCCCGGCGGGCCGGCTTCTCTAGCGCAGGCGTGGTCATGGGCGCGGCAGGCGAATGGGCGCGCAAATGTTTGAACAGCACTGGCACGGCCTACAAGGCGTCAAATTCGCGCCCTCGATACCCGGAAAGTGCATCTCAATTTCCTTCCTGTTCTCCTTCCCCTTTAGCTCGCGATGCGACCATTTGACTCGATGACGTGGGAGAGCTTACTCTAGTCATTCGTTTCTCGTCTCTTGATCCGTTTTCCTAATGTCTCGGCATTGACGGGTTGGGGATGGTCTATCACGCCCTCCAGAGAGCGAGAAACCTCGCGCGGCCAGTTCTTCGTGACGCGGCGATGGTTGGTATGCCTCCTGGCCAGGCCTAGGCTAAATATTAAGAGATTGCTTACCGGACATCCCCGATCTCTACTAAATAGGATTCTTGGCTTAGGCGGCCACAAAATGTTAGATCATCATGACACCAGCCCGCAGATCGAGATAAGCACACATAAAGTTCAACGAGGATCCATGCATCCGCGATGGAATGGGCCTACATGCCCGATGCTGAAGAAGGGGGTTTTTCCCTGTTGACAACGAATGGTCGATTGAGCAAGGTCGGTATTTTCACCATTTCCATAGGCGGGTGGCTAAGAGTGTTGGGCCGGGACCGAAAAATGTGCTTACTCTGGGCTCGACGCGTGGGGAGAGACAGGCAGGGGACGTCGCCCACGCGATTAGCGCCAAGACCTCCCACTGCTGGCCCTACACAATGCAGCTCCCTCCAACGAGCGCCACAGACGGGCGGCGCCCCATCGAATGAAAACAGTTGGGTGGCTCAGTGCTGCAAATGCTCAGCCTCACAGGCGCGCCAAGACGCCTTAACCGCGCCCAGCACAAAGTCCAGACCCGGATTTTTTGGGCTGTAGTAATCAGCATGCATGCAGAGCTAGCGACCGATCCTGGGCCAGGAAAATCGTACTGTAACGCCGACGGCATCCCAGGGCCGGCGCAGTCGACGGATCTGGGGAATTACCACAGAGGCATGTGGAGGAGTCTGGCGATACCGTCAGCAGAGAGAGCGAGGAAAAGATGGATATACTTAAGCCCCGGGAGGACGGTCTCGAGGTGGTGCTGGGGTTGATTCCAAACACACAAGAACCATTTCCACCATCTCTATTGCTTCTCTCCAGAGTCATCTGGAGGCAAGCACACAGCGTCTATTTAGACAGTATCTTTTAACGACGATAAAAGAGCATACTATCACGGAAACTCTCTATACTTACCCTTCCATCTAGCTGCGGCACCATGGATTCCGATCTCCGCAAGCCGCACATGGCCGTTCGCCATCGGCCTCACCTCTTCGGCCGGCTCCTGCACGTCCTCGCCCTCCTCCTCCTGGCGCTCACCTTTTTCCTCTTCATTCTCGTCTGCATTTCCGGCACGTGGCTGATGAAGGAGGACAACAAGTGGCGCCTGGCCCTTGGCAACTTTTCCATGGTGGAGGTGAGTATCTATGGTCCCCGTTTCTTGTCATGTCTCTTTCAAAATGTTCTAACGTTTCCCCCCCTCCTAGTTCGACGGCATCATTCCCAAGCCCAACACCAAGGACGAATATAGCGTCAAGATGCACCTCACCCTGGCCAGCTTCGGCTGGGAGTACCTCAACGCGACCAAGAAGGAGATGCAGGCCGGCATCGTGTACCAGGGCTTCGCGCAGACGCTCAAGTTCCCCGACCACCTCCGCGACGTGGCCAAGCGGCTGGACCTGCCCTCGTCCGACTACGACTGCCTGCACCCCAACCAGGGCACGTGCCGGAACGACTTCTTCAACAAGTTCCGCGACGTCAAGGAGATGACCTTTGTCACGTGGGTGCAGTGGCTCATCGTGCTGCTCGGCCTCTTCTTCCTGCTCGTCGTCTTCGTCAAGGACGTGCTCATCACGTTCAAGAAGAGCTGGATGAAGTGCCACTGCTGCTTCCTGTCCTCGCTCTGCCCCAACCCCAAGGGCAGCGCCGAGGAGAACGCGACCCTGCCGCCGTCCTTTTGGGACGGCCTACGCCTGTACTGGTACGCCACGGGCTTCGTCTACATGTTCGTCGTGTCCATCATCCTCACCGTCCGGTCGCGCTCCATCGTCGACGAGCTCAAGAAGAAGAATGTGCCGGGGGCGCGCGTGAGCGACGTGTTCCTGGTGCTCATCTGGTTCGGCGTCGTGTGCATGTTCGTCGCGGTCGTGTGCATGGGCATCAGCAAGCTCTGCAACCGCGGGCGCGAGAGGCAGGTGTTGGCCGAGGCCAGCTCTGCCGAGCGTGCTCACAGCAGCCACAGCCACCTGCCGCCCGGAGGGCCGTATGGGGGTCCGGCCCCGCAGCACCACCATCACCAGGAGCCGTACCCGGCCGCCTTCATGCCGCCCGAGCCGAGCATGCCGTCGCAGGTGCCGCACCCGGCCAACGCGGGCGGGTTCAACGACGTCAACATCACCACCCCGCCCACCTACGGGAACAAGGCCTCGGAGAACCCGTACGAGAAGTCGTAAGGTGGGAGGGGGCTTCATATGGGGTGTGTGCTGGCAATCGCGGGTGTGCGCGACGGCTGGACCCTAAGAGGAAAGCAACTCGCTGCTTCCGAGGTGGTGGTTGGAGGGGCGAAGGCGGGGGATGCATATTGGCTTGGTATTTTCCTTTTTTTCATTTTGGCTGGGAATTCAGGTTGTCACACCACCACTAGCGGTTTGTTGGATTGGGCATTTTGCATGGCGGCATTTGCACGGGCTTAGCGACTTGGCGTTTTTCTTTCTTTCCGGGATTGGCGCAGAAAAGGGCGATTGGTGAAACCATCAAATCTTCATGTTCACTACTTTTTTGAAATTTCCTTTGTTTCCCACGAGATACTTGGTTCGTCAATACAGGATTAGTCGAGATGTGATCCGTTGGTACCAGCAAGAAGGGCTGCATGTGCCGATCTGGGCACGGCGGCGGCAGAGTAAGCGTGCAGTCAGCTCCCGCCACAGGAGCCGGAATCCTTTCACCCGGTCAACCTGTCATCCAACGGGCGTCGGTCAATCTCTGACACCTGCCAGAAGGGCATAAGGGCATAGGCGAGTGCGACATTAGCACATCCCACGTATCAATGCAACGTCGGTGACGCCCCGTTCCTGCGGCAAAATAGGGATGAGGTGGTGGTATTGTGACGGCAGAGAAAAACACAACGGTCGCGATCGCTTCTACGGCATCTAGCTCCAACTACCACTACTTGTGCTTGCACGGCTTCCCGCCCTTGTGGGAAATGGGCGCGTAGAAGCTGAAGCGGTCGCTCGGGTCGTACTTGTCCTTGAGCGCCGCCAGCTTCTCGACGCGCGCCGCGTCGCCGTAGAACTGCCCCTCCTCCTCGTTGCCGTACCCGTAGTTGACGTACACGGCCGCCTTGCCGGCGCGCCCGCTCCCGGCCTGCAGCATGTCGCGCAGCCTGCCACCCAGCTCCCTGGCCCGGACCTCGACGTCGGCGCCCGAGGCGGGGTTGTACTGGATCAGCGGCGCGTTGAGCAGGTTGCGGTCGCGGTGGGCGAAGGCGGTCGAGGACGCGTCGACGGCGCGCAGCCCCTGCGACGGGTAGCCCTCAAACATGAAGATGGAGCCGTGGAAGGGCGAGTCGGCCGGCCCGACGGCCGCGGCGTAGGCGGCGTAGGCCTCGGCCATGGTGGCCGGGTCGTAGGCGTCCAGGTAGATGGGGAAGCGCGGGTTGGCCAGGCCGGCCTTTTGGCACGGCGGCGACGACAGCGACACGCCCGCCCAGCCAGACACCTGCAGGTAGTCGCCCGTCTTGGGGATCGCGACCAGGGGCCCGATGTCGTGGAATGGCTGGGTGTACTCTGGGCTGACGGCCTTGACGCCCTGCTGGATGATGTAGAAGATGATGATGGGCTGCGGGGATTGTGGTTAGTCAGACTGGCACGGCACGCAAGACAAGTCGAAATGGCATTAGGTTGCCGAGAGGCAGAGAGCTTACGTTCTTGGGGTCCATCGAGGCGTCGTTCAGCCAGTACGACCAGTTGATGAGGTCCCTGGACTGCGTGCCGTTCTTGAGCAGGTGCTCGTTGGCGGCGCGGTAGACGGCCTCGACCTTGTCGCCGCTGAAGATGTGCGTCTCGATGGCCCAGTCGCGCGAGATGACGTCGTAGATCTTGAAGACGGCCGACGTGACGACGCCAAAGTTGTGGCCGGCGCCCTTGAGCGCGTAGAACAAGTCCGCGTTCTGGTCCGCGCTGGCCGTGACGGCGCGCCCGTCGGCCAGCACCACGTCCAACGACACGATGTTGTCGGCCACGAGGCCGTAGTAGCCCTGCAGCCAGCCGTGGCCGCCGCCGAGGGCGGGGCCCATGATGCTGACGCACTCGCAGGTGCCCGTCACTGTTTGCTCGTCGCTTGCGTCAGCAAATGTCTGTCTGCCAACGGACTGACAGAGGGTGCGGGGGGGCCGTGCAGCGACTGCTAGATAACTGACCTGTCTGCTTGTTCGCCGCCCATAGCGCGTCGATGAGCTCCTTGGACCTGATGCCGCCCCCGACCCTGGCCGTCTTGCCATCGGCGGCAATCTCGACACTGTTGAGCGACCGGATGTCGATCTCAATGCCGTGGTCCATCTTCCCCAGGGTCGTGAGGGTGCCGTGCGCCGTGTTGGTGGCTAGGAACGGCAGCTTCCTCTCGTTTGCAAACTTGATCTGAGCGGCGGGCAAAAAGCAAATAGATAACACGTCAGATTTTGCATTTCTCGTATCACCAACGGGCGCGGAATTCCCACGCCAAGGAAGAAAAAACAAGACAAAACAGATGAGGGAAAAAAAAGAAAAAAAAGCAAAGGACCGACAAAGCGTCGGCAAAAAGGGGAAGGATTTGACGAACCGTCGCAGCAACATCCTCCTGGCTCCCAGGCACCACCACGGCGTTGAACTTTGGCGGCGACAGGTTGGACCACCGCGCGGTCCGGCTGGTGAACTCGGCCGAGCCGGGGAACACGATCTGCGCCCCGGCCGACAGGCTGGCTCCCAGCTGCGCGACGTCGTCGCTCCGGGGGCAGAAGCCCGAGGCGCAGGCGAGACCGCCGACGCCGCGGGGGATGCTCAGCGACGCGACGGTCGTGGCCAGGACAGCCACCGCGCCGAGGGCGCCAGCGAAGTCGGTTGACCGCATCCTTGACGTCAGGGATGATAGCCCGGGTGGCGGGCCGTGCGGTAGCGTTGGTGGTGGTTGTGGTTGTGGCGGCGGTGGGAGGGTGTGATTCCCGCTGTTGCCTTTTCCCGCCTCAACCTGAAGCTCGCACGGTGACATGCAAAGAGGGACGAGCCCATAAGAGAAGGACTGCTATACGGGCGGGCCTTCTTGGTCTTTGCTTCTTATTGCGTCTCTGCACACCTCGGGGCCTGGAGCTCAAGTGGTCCGGGTCGGTGAAGAAGCAAAGGACCAGGCGGCACAGCAGAAGTGCTGGTAGCAACCTGCCGTTTTATTGCACCCCCTGGGCGGGCGAGGCAGCACCGAAGATGCGATCGGTCACTTTCGTTTTCCCCCCACGGCACCGTGATAGGTCATCTCGCCCAGGCGCCCGCCTCGGCGAGGCTCCATATCTGCACGCCAGAGTCCCCAATATTTGCCCAGCCCCAGCAGCAGAGGCACGCAGCGTAGGTGCGGTGGCGGCGGCGGCACTGCCTGATGCGTGTGTGTGTGTATGATGGGCCTTACCCGAAGCGGGTGTGGGGTGAGGGTGTATCGGGCGCGGGGGGGAGGGCAGGGGGCGCCGCTCAAATATGACGCCTCCTAGGGGTCGCTACCCCGTCCGGCGCAATGCTCCCGCCAGCGGACCGCTACTGTAAATGGTGGGCCGTCCTTCGGGTGGGTGGCCCCTCGCTCCCCGCCGCATATCAGCTTGCCGGATGGGGAGTCTAGCTCGCTGGCCGGACCCCTACCTTGAAAGCGAAGAATCAATAGTTGCGAGCGCAGGTGGCGTTGAGGCGCTCGATTCTGCAACCCACCTTGGTGCACGTTTGCTGGGAGGGCTGAGATATTGGCGTTGTTGGGGAGAGATGCACCGAGATGGTGGCATGCGCTGGAGATCTCATCGTTGGCACAGGCCGGCCCCCATAAACATTCTTGCTTTTTTTTTCTCCCCGAGGAAGCTGGGAGGAGCGGCGTCAGACGACAATTGCTGAGAATAACCATGATACCCCTCCCACCCCAGCAGTTAGGAATATCACATCATTCCTTTTTCAATTTCACCTTTCGCCATCCGTCCCCTGGAGCATTACCGTGTTTCGAACCCTTTCATCCTTTCTTCTTCGTTTCCCTTACGCAATTCCCCACCTTTCGTATTTCTACTCGTCTTGTTCTCCTTTTCTCAGCCGCTACTCTCTATTTTGTCGTAGCCACGCCCACTAGCTTCTGGTGGGGAAGCTCGGTGTGCGCAGTATTGGCCTGGGTGGCTCGGTATGACAGGTCCTTTTGTGGTCTTGGCAGACCGCCACGCTTGCGCAGGGGGCAGAGGGACCAGGGTGGTATCGCCTAGCTCTGTTGGCGTCCATGGAACCCGAGCTGCACCAACGACATCTGTCGGGCGGGCCCGCGGCCTAATGCCCTGCCGAGCCGGTAGACGGGGCAGATAACGGTACATTCGCTTCCCGGGGGCTGCTTGGCGAAAAAAAGAAAGAAAAAAGGGAACATCCACTTCTCGCTTATTCGCTGTGAACTATAGGTACACCCGCGCATGTAGCCATACTGCTAGGGCTGCGAGGTGGGTGTGTGCGACGATGTTTGATACCGGGCTGTACAGAATTCTCGCCGAACCAGCCGCCAGAGACATTCTCGGCGCCAGGTGCCGAAGCTGTTTCGCCCCAGTGGCTACCCGTCGCCCAGTCAGGGGGAATGGCGACGCCCCAGGGTGTCTAGGGGTATGTACATACCGAAGCCCTGTTTTGCGGGAAGCTAGACCAAACGCTCAGCTATGAATCCCGCGCATGGGTCGATAATAAATAAGGTATGGGTGGGGGAAGAAACGAGACCAAATTTTGCGCCTCGCCCTCTCCGGTCCGTAGATATGAAGAGCTTTCTTTCCTCTTGGATATTTCGGTGGAAAAGAAAGCGTATCGCCAAGCGTTGAAATGGCCCTGCCCATGGTGTGAAAGCCAACGACAAGTGCCGGAGACCACACACATATGAACACCTTCCCATCAGCCCCAAGAAAAGGCCTTTATCTCGCCCAGCCACCGTCGGGTCACAAGTGCCGTCCATAGCGGGCCGTTCCTAGCTGTTGCAGGCCATCCTATCAGGACTCCCTTTTGCCTGTTGATCAGCCGCTCCCTGAACGACAACGACGACGACGACGACGACGACACAGACGCATCGTCTTGAACGCCAGCCTCACTGCATCCAGCCATGTCGAGCAGCGACGGCAGCGCCGCCATGGACCCCGCGGCCCAGGCGGCAGCCATCGCCAAGGCCGAGGCCACCTTCCGCTCCTTCACCATCGAGCTCTTCACCCTCTTCGGCATCGGCGCCCTGAGCACGGTGCTGAGGACCTACGGCCGCATCAAGAAGGTCGGGTTTGCGAACCTGGCCCCTGACGATTTCCTGGTCTGGCTTGGACTGGTGAGCTTTTTCTTTCCCCTCAGCATTCGTGCCCTGTACTTTTGGGCGGTACTTTTGACGCGCCAGAAGTGAGCAAGTCCAGCTGACAGCGAGATGCCATTTTCGGCGCTAGATCTGCTATGCCACCCAAGCAAGCCTGGGATACAGCATCGGCAACCTCGCCCAGGGGCTCGCCAACAACGGCATGACGGACGAGCAGCGCGCGAGCATCGACGTCAACGGCAAGGAGCACGAGCTAAGGTGAGGCCAAGCCGGGAGTTCTCCTTTTTTGAACAAGCGCAGCGTGCAGGAGGACGCATGGGCTGATCGATACTTTCGTTACGAGTTTCCAGGGTTCTCGGGTCCCAGATCCAGGTCGCCGGCTGGACCGTCTACTCGATGCTCATCTGGTGCTTCAAGCTGTCCATGCTGTTCTTCTATGTCAGGCTCACGGTATGTGATTTTATCCAGGAGCAGACGCCCCGTTTGGGGGCGCAAGAACCCCTTGCCAGACTGACAGTGTCGATACTGCTACCAATAGGAGGGACTTGGTCGAGCGTACCGCATGCGCGTGTGGTACGGGTTTGCCCTAGTGCTTGCGACCTTCTTTGGCACCATCCTGACCATCTTCTTGGGGTGCCGCCCATTCAACCACTACTGGCAGGTCACTCCCAACCCTGGCAGTAAGTCGTCCTGTGGCGTTCCCCGTTTGATATGACCCCTTCGTGGTGTACCCTCCCGGCTGACGATGCAACCGAGCCACGATAGATCAATGCCAACCTGCTCTGTCCGCCCCCATTGTCTGGTCGTCGTTCGCTGCCAACGTGTCGACCGATATCTACCTCATCCTCATCCCGCTCGACCTGCTATGGGGCTCCACGCTCAAGCTGTACCAGAAGATAGCGTCCACCATCGTCCTGGGGACCGGCATCTTCGTGCTCGTCTGCGCCATCCTGAAGACCATCTACGTTTTGGTGGTATGTAGTACCCATATCCAGCACCATAGCATTCGCAGGCGCACTTTTCCCCCTTCCTAACACGCGAGCCAACAGGACCCCGTCAACGGCGCGCAGCTGGCCGGCGAGTGGGGCACGCGCGAGGCCTTCACGTGCGTCGTCACGACCAACCTGCCCATGGTCTTCCCGCTGCTGCGGCAGTGGCTGGGCCCTCTCCTGCCCAGCTTCCTCCGCTCGAGCCGCTACACGAGCGGCAACACCAAAAAGTACGAGACGCGGCCGGGCTTCCGCACCATCGGCGGCGGCGACGGCAAGGGTGGCGCCCCCGGCAGCGGCGGCGGCATAAGCGGAAGCGGCGAGGCGCGGACGCCCAGGAGGACAAAGGGCTCGGGCAACCCGGTCGAGAGCAACATCAGCTTTACTGGGAGCGAGGAGCGCATCATGGGCGGCGGCGGCGGCACCGCGGCGGGCGAGGTCAAGCTGCAGCGCCTCAGCAGGATCGGGATGGCCGTCACGAGCCCCCCTCAGCAGGGCGTCGCCGTGGCGGGCGTGTACTCGCCGACCACGAGGACGGTGACGGCCAGCGAGAGGGAGGACGGCGTGGCGCTGCCGCGGGGAAACAACATTGTCGTGTCGAGCGAGGTTGAGGTCACGTCGGACAGGGCCAGTAACGGCGAGCAGCGGCCACAGCGGCCACATGAGGCGTGGTAGTGCTGCCGTCTTGGTTTTGGTCGTTATATGGCCCAGGCGTTTTCGCTATCCCCCGATTACTGGTGGTTCCCAACAGAGCTGCTAATGGAATGTGTACTATTACCTGGAGGTTTTGGTCGATATCTCGCGATTTTGTACAAAAGCAACGACCTTTTCAATTTCCCGTCCATAGTGTTTCCTGTGATGCGTGCTCGCGCGACAGAGATGAAGTTGTTCTGCCACGACCAATACGGTAGCCAACGCTGGTTAGGGCGTTGTTGGCTGTCCTCACCAGCTGCAACAGGCCCACAAATGTGCAATACGGACGGGCTTAAAACCGTCGGGAGGCGCCGTTGCGTAGGACTGGCGTTCAACTACCGGAAGCTTACATGAACTTTAAATCCGGCAAATACCCGAAAACATCACAGCCTGCCGCTTTCGGTACCGTCCTGCTGGATGCAAAAATGCGCCTCCAATAAATGGGTTGTCGCGTTGCAGAAGATTCTCCTAGATTCTTTTCCATGCGTCAACGTATCTCGCTCAAACAGTCGGAGAAAGACGTCGTCACTCTGACGCGGGTCCAAGTTGTCCCGGCATCAACCCTTCGATGTGGCTGGCCCTTGCGTTTTCCGAATAATTCCAACGACTTCTTCCCCGGATCAACCACAAGAGAAAATTGCAATAGATGGGTCCCCGCGGGTTTTATTTCCCCCATCAGACCCAATTCTTTACGACCTCTGCTTATCCACACGGTGGAGAGCTCCTTAGTAAGATGGCCTCGATGCTTGGCGGGACCGACTCGTTCACCATGGCACACCAAGCGGAGAGTCAAGCTGATGACCAAGAATATACGTCGTTGGGACGAAGTGGTTCCGCGACGGCTCTGCGTATAAAACCGGCCACATCTGCCGATGGAGTCGGGAGGATGTCCTGGAGGGATGTGACCAAATACCACAACTAGCAGGACAGCAAACAAGTCTCCCGCAAACATCCAACGACAATGTCTTCCCGGATAAATGACCAGTGGGTCGTCAAGGGCTCGGAGAAGGGGTTCGACGAGCTCGAGTACCAGAAGAACGTGCCCGTCCCCAATGTTGGCGAACACGACGTGCTCGTCCGCCTGCACGGCGCGTCGCTCAACTACCGTGACCTCATAATCACCAAGGTAGGTCATAAAAAGAAACCGGAATTATGAAAACTCGAGCAAATACCAACGACCCCCCCCCAAAAAAAAAAACAGGGCATGTACCCCTTCCCCCTCAACCTCCCCGTCGTGCCCGCCTCGGACGGCGCGGGCGAGGTCGTCTCCGTCGGCCCACGCGTGACGCGCTTCAAGCCCGGCGACCGCGTCGTCACGCTCTTCAACCAGGGCCACCAGTCCGGGCCCCTGACCACCGCGTCGGCGCAGACGGGGCTGGGCGGCGTGCTGCCCGGCACCCTGCGGCGCTGGGGCGTCTTCGGGGAGGACGGCCTGGTGCGGGCCCCCCCGCAACCTCTCCCACCTCGAGGCCGCCTCCCTCCCCTGCGCGGCCCTGACGGCCTGGAACGCCCTGTACGGCCTGCGGCCCGTCAAGCCCGGCGACGTCGTGCTCGTGCAGGGCACGGGCGGCGTCAGCGTCTTCGCGCTGCAGTTCGCAAAGGCCGCGGGCGCCACCGTCATCGCCACCACGTCGTCGGCGGACAAGGCCGAGGTGGTGAAGAGGCTGGGCGCCGACCACGTCATCAACTACAAGGAGGACCGGAGCTGGGGCGAGACGGCCAGGGGGCTGACGAGGGACGGCGCGGGCGTCGACTACGTCGTCGAGGTGGGCGGCCTCGGCACCTTCGAGCAGAGCCTCAAGGCCATCAAGTTCGAGGGCATCATCACCGTCATCGGCTTCCTGAGCGGCGCCCAAGGGGAGAAGTTCCCGCCCGCCATCGAGTCGCTGGTCCGCGTTTGCACCATCCGGGGGCTGCTGGTCGGGTCCCGCGCCATGATGGAGGACATGGTGGCCGCCATCGAGGCCAACGACATCCACCCCGTGCTCGACAAGAAGGTCTTTACTCTGGAACAAGCCCGCGAGGCCTATGACTACATGGTAAGCCTTGACCGACTGTTCTTCGCTTCGTTTCTTGTGCGGGGATATCTAACAGGGGCTTTCCTCCACCGCAGTGGGCGCAGTCGCATTTTGGAAAACTTGCTATCAAGATCGAGTAGATGCAGATTCCTTGATCATGGGGATTCCGGAAATAAAATCCAATTCAATTGTGCTCAACAACACTTGACAAGAGGACCATACGAGTAGCAGCCACCGTCTCCTATATGCATGCCGTGTTGCCACAAAGAAGGCACATCGACAGACCACGCCGCTGCCATCTCACCAAAAGGTCAAGACCATGTCAGACAGCCCAAACAAGCGTCGGCCGAATCGCTCAGCAAGCCTTTCTCTGTTGGAACAGGTTAGAACCACAGGCGTGAGGTTACAAGTCCCAGATCCTCAACTCTGCGAAATATCCCGGAGGTGATTGATCCTGTTGATGTGCAGCATCCAATTGTTGGTTCGCGCACTTCTCGTAAACTCAAACGGCAGCTCCCCGCGCGGAATGTCCTCGAGGTACGTTCCGGGGAGCCCGCGCTTCTCATCGGGCTCGTAGGGGAGGAGGGGCAGGTCGACGACGAAGGCGCCCGTCGGCTTTTCGACCTTCATGAGCCGCGCGAAGAGGCGGTTCTCGTAGACACGCTTGTGCCACGGCCGCAGGTCGCTCGAGCCGAGCCACATGCGCAGATCGCGCATCCCGCCGCCGCCGCCGTTGGCGACGTCCTTGGAGCTGGCGCGCACGAGGGCGTCGCACAGGCGCTGCCACGGGTTGTCGTCGGCCGTCACGGGTTTGGGGCGGCCCTTGATGGCGGCCTTCTCGCCGGTGCCAAAGTAGAGCTCCGTCAGGAGCGGCGTGAAGCGTAGGCTGATCTCCAGCGATCGGCAAGTTAGGCCCGAGCGCAAGCGGGAGTTGATGAATGAAGCGGCCTGCTCGGTGTCGATCAGGTGGAAGGTAACTTCCTCGTAGATAGACTTGGAGCATTCGAGGTAGCTGCGGAATAGAAGGGTTAGGGGTTGAGCCAACGGTGGGGTTGGGATGCGACTGACAGGCGCTTGCAAGATAGCATGAGAGGAAGGAACGGCGACAATGCGGGAGAGCGGCAGTTGGGCTCTTGGCAGACATCGGCGTCACCCTTCTTGGCTTTCCCTCCGGACTGCTCGCCCTGGTCTTCCTCCTCTGCCTGGTCCTCCTCAGCCTGGGCGTTCTGCTCATCTTGGGCAGCCTGCTCGGCCTGGGCGGCCCGTTCAGCCTGCTCCTTCTGCTTCTTCACATGCTGCTGGCAGGGCCAGTGGACGTTCCAGTCGGTCATGAGGCCTCGGTCCCAGGACATGGCCTCACCGCCCCCACCGCGGCAGCCGACGTGGAAGCTGTCGTCGGAGCCACGGGTGGGCTTGCGGCCGAATCTATCCTCGTGAAGCAGGCAGGGGAAGTGGGCCATGCCCCTGCCGTGGGGCTCGCGGTACAAGTGCTGGCGCTGGCTGTCGAGGGCCCAGGTCTCGGCGTATATCATCTTCCGGATCTCGAGCGGAAGCGAATTGAAGAGTCGCGAGAGCTCCTGTGGGTCTGCCGACTTGGCCATATGGGCTCTGTCGGGCCAGGCGGGCGCCGAGTCATCAGTGGCGGTGGGCGTTGCGTCGGTGGTCATTTCCGTATCCATTTTGGGTTGGTTGCGGTAGGAATCTCCACTGCTGTGGCTATCTGTTTGTTGGTTTGTGCCGGTTTCTTCCCGAGCACATTCCCAATCTCAAGAAAGTGGTTGGGTATTCGAAGGAAGATGAGAAAAGAAAGGACGGGAGTTGGGTGCAGGCGGCGTGGTTAAGTTTCGGGCTGGCTGAAGAACTGCTGCTGCCTGCCAACGTGTGGCGTCGCCTTGGCTAATCGGGAAAGAGGCATGCCGTTGGTTCGCGATGAACTGCATGTGGCTTGGCGGGGCGCGCATCAACGTGGGGTGGTGGGGCAAGGAGCATTGGATTGAGGCCTCAGTTGTGCCGCTACGACTACCAAACCCACAGACTAGCATTCTCCAACCCTCAAAAGTTCCCCCAGCTACAGCCATGATCTGTCCTTACTTCCGGTCGGCCAGCCGCCACAACTTGTCAAAGCGGTTTTCCGGATCATACCTCGCCTTGAGCTCCCGCAAGCGCACCGCGTTGTCCCCAAACGCCCCCTCAGCGCTGATTGGTTGGTCCAGGTAGTTTCCGTACAAGTACTGCGACGACTTTGCGATGTTACTCCCGCTCTCTCGGCTGGCCTTCGGGTGGTACATGGTCTCCGAGATGAGATCGGCCAGCTCCTTCTTGAAGCGGCGCACCTCGGCGTCCCTAGACGCATCGGTCCAGTTCATGACCAGCCCCACGTTGTAGTACCGCCCCCTGTTGGAGTGCGCCGTGGCCGTTGCCGGGACCGAGCACGCCTTGGCCCACGGGAAGATCTCGAACCCGAGGACCGTGTTGCGCAGGTCCTGCGCCCCGCCCGAGCTGGCCAACTCGCAGTCCACGTAGGCGTAGAACTTGCTGGCCGCCGCCACGAAGGCGGCCGCGTCGACGGGCCCCGTCATGTGCGCCACGCCGTGCTGCCACCGCGCCCCGGGCGTCACGAGGTGATCGAGCTGCCGGTTAACGAGCCGGTACGGCATCTCGGCCGTCGCGTTGAGGACGGGCCCCAGCGCCAGTAGCGCCGCGAAGTATCGTGCGCCCTCGGCCGCCGTGCCGTTGTGGAACACGTACATGGCGACGGCCTTGGCGCGCGCCCCGTCGGGCCCCGGCGGCCCGTAGCCCGGCGCCAGCATCACGGCCTGGTCGCCTTCCTCGACCTCGAGGTGCTCGTTGACGGCCCCGACCACCTCGGCGGCGCGCTCGAACGGGAACACGAGGGCGCCGCTCCAGACGTTGCCCTGCGGGAACACGCGGCTGGTGAAGCGCGTGGCGACGCCGAAGCTGGCTCCCGCGCCGCGCACGGCCCAGAACAGATCCTTGTCGCCCCCTTCGTCGTCGGACGCCACCACGACGCTGCCGTCGGCGAGCACCATCTCGACCGACACGAGACAGTCGATGGTCAGCCCGTGCCGGCCCGACAGCCAGCCGAAGCCGCCGCCGAGCACCAGCCCGCCCACGCCCGTGTCCGCGACGGTGCCCCCGGGCGTCGCCAGCCCGTGCTCCCACGCCGCGTCGTCGACGTCGGACCAGAGGCAGCCGCCCTCGAAGGTGACGGTATGCGCCGCCGCGTCCACCGAGACGCCGCGCATGCGCCGCAGGTCGATGACGGCGCCCTCGGGCCCCATGGACGCCGTGCCCGAGGTCGCGTGCCTGCCGCCGCTGACGTTGAAGGGGATCGAGAGCGATGAGAGCAGCTTCACCGCCCTGCTGACCTCCTCGGTCGTTCTGGGGAGGACCACCGCCCCCTGTTAGGTGCGGACAGGATTTGATTAGCCGCAGTATCAGAAGTTTAACAAGTGGGGGCACATCGAGCCCCTTGCACAACGGGAAATGGTGGGACGAACCGCCCGCTTGACGCACACGGCGCTCCACCGCTGGATGACGTCTTCGTAGCCATCATCTCCCGGCAGGAGGACCCCTCCCGGAAAGGCTTTCTTGACTGACTCGAAACCCGATGTAGCCGTCATTGTGTCGGCAGTAGGCGTATGTTCCATGACTGGCACGCTCCTCTGCTATCTCGAAGGCGCGGGACCTGACCATCTTTATATAGCGACAGGCACCGGGACATCTATCCCATGGCCCCATCCTACTGCAGCCGGCCTCGGCCCACTCGTTGCTGCTGAGCGAATCGAGCTCCGGTGATCCGCGTGCCAAGACAACTAGACCCAGCTCATACGTGTTGTCCTCCCCAAAGGCCTCTTCGTCTGTGCTCGACATGTCACCACCGGTCTGCCCTCTAAAGCGTCGTATCATGTGGGGCGGACATGCGGGATATCCCAAATGAGGCCGTATACGGGCAGCTAAACGCTGGCAGTCCCTGCCCCCCACCTGATCTGCCGAGTACCAAGTGTTTACTCATTTGATATGCCCAGCCTGCCCCTCTGCATGGATTTCACGGCTTCGGCGACATGTGCCTGTGATTACTGTCGCTCCTAGTGGTCATCGAACACCGGTAGGTTCGAACGGCCAAGGCCATATTTGACGACGTCATTCCATGCTCAAATCCCGACCGGCGGGAAGTACACAGGACCAGTCTAGGATGATCACGCAAGGATACCCTAACCAACTAGATCCTGGGAATAACGTTGAAAGGGGCGTGGATTTCGGAGGATACTTATCCGTAGCTTAATGATGTCCGCCACTAAATACGCTTTTGAGTGTTTGTATTGATGGTTCCGCGCAAATATGCCGAATCACACGCCAACATTTGGCCTCGTCAACCACTGCTATTTTAGAGTTCCTGCCTAATTTACGGTTCCGAACAGAAAAAACTCGGCATTTCTACGAATATATCAAGTTCTTTCGGGGTGACCTTTTTGCCTTTCGAGCTCTCGCCTGCCCAATAGCGACTCCTATTTCTGAGACCTCCTATCTATGATATCTATATCCATCCGCAGCCCTCTAATAATCCCAGATACGCTCATCAGTGACCCAACAGGACTGAACCTGCTCCAGTTGCGCCTTCTATCCCGTAACCCAAGGAAAATCACCCCTCTAAAGCGCCGATACTCCACATCAACTGCTCACCAGGAATGATGCCAAATCACCTCTTCTGCCGCAGCAAGCAGTGACGTCCCCACTTGCGCCGATACTTCCCCGGGACCATCTCCCAGCCTGGTACCCACAGGGCCCGGGCGAGGAAGCCCGTCTTTCCCGCGTCCATGAAAGGCACACACTTGACCATCTCCCAATGCTCCTCGTCCGCAATGTAGTCGGGTTCGTTCGGGGGCAGCGACTTAGGCTGCTCCGCGTGGTGGCTGTACTGCGTGTCCACCAGGAAGTCGCAGGTGCGAAGCTCGACGTACTTGCCCATATCCTCTTCGTTGCGGTCGTTCATGCCGCTCGGCACGAGCCATGTGCCTCCCCAGATACCAAAGCCTGTGCGGGCTTCGGAGAACTCGCCGGGCAACAGGCCGCGGAACTCGGACCGAACAAACTTGGCGTGCATCTCACGCGGCAGGAAGTATGAGGTCGGGAATCGGTACCACTCTTTGCCGAAGCACACAAAGTCACCGTTTCCTCCCAGCGGGCCTCCACCGACAGTGCCCGAAGCCAGCGGCTTGTAGATCTGAAGGGGAGCAGAATAGGCCGAGTAGATGCCAAAGATGCGGGCCAGAGAGACGTCCAGTGAGAGGATGACGCCAAGGGCGAGGAATGCGAGTTTGAGCTTGGCAGGGATCATGCCAATCAAGGTCTTGGGGTTTGCGTTTCCCAGGGCCGTGACAAGAATGTGAAAGGATATGGCTGCATTGAGGGCCAGAAAAGGGTATGCGGGATACATGAAGCGCTCCTCTTTGTGTGGCTGCAGGGTGAAGATGGCCAGCCACATGTAGAAGGGTGTCATAAAGACCAGAGAGCGCATCCCGGATCGGAATTCGTGGCCCGAGGGAACGATGAGGCCGCGGATGATGAAAAGCGGGAGGGAGAGGAGCGCGAGGACGAACCATATGTTGAAGTTGAGGGCGAGGTTCTTGAAATAAAACGTCCATGGCTCAGTGCCGTAAAGGTTGGGACCTCCGCTCGACGAGAAGATGTTGTACTTGACGATGTTCCAGGGCACGATTTCAAGTTTCCGGTAGAAGAAAGCATTGATGGCGGTATCAAGCACCTGGCGGAAGGCAACGGCAGATTGTTAGTTCAGCCCCCAAGATAGCACAGTTTTGTCAACGTTCACTTACGACGAGGAGCAAAGCAGCAACGACACCCCTGCCGACCCGGACAAAACACTCAAACTTGCGCTCGCCATCTGCGAAAAAGGCGAAGAAAATGTCCTCTGCCACAAAAGGCGCGCACAGGGCGGCAGCAAAAGGCCAACCAATAACACCGCCGAGAGCAAACCAGAAGATGCCCTGAGACGTCTTCAGCCCGCCCCGCCAGTGCACAAAGGCGGCAGCGCCCATCATAGAAGCATACATGGCGAAGCTCGATGGCAGGTAGGCGGTGGCGGAGTGGAAGTTTCCAGGGCTCGTGGCCAGTGCCAGGATGAACCAGGTGCCGGTGCGAGGAGAGACGGTCAAGCTGACGGCCCTGTACATCAAGGTCTGGCAGAGGGCACAGACGAATGCCATGACGTAGCGGACGAAATAGAACTCGCCGACCTTTGTGGATTGGGGCAGGATGCGGCGCAGGTTGGCCACGACGGCGTGGAGTGAGATGTACAGCCAGCTACGGATCGAAAAGTCGGGAGAGTACTCCCACGTCTGCAAGCCGTAGCCATGGCTGAGGTAGTGCGTGGGCTCCCAGTAGTTGAATGTCTCGTCGCAGTCCTGGATAGGGGCGAAGAGGGCCGACACGAGGTTCGCGACGAGGAAGATGTAGAAGGCCGAAATCGGCTCGATCGCGTACGGGCTCGGCGGGGTCCTGGTGGACACAGAGGCAGATGATGTCAGTTTATTCCTTTGCTCCTGGTGCTGGGCGGTGCATGGGCCTCGGCTAAGGGTGAGCTTGATGGCCAAAGTTGCGCCTACTTCTTCTTCGCATGGGAGGCTTCCGGGTGGACAAACTCCTTGCGCTTTTGCCCTTCTTTTGGAGGCATTGTAGGCGACAGGGAGCGACTCAGTCGGGCTGGAGTTTTGGCATGAATAAGCACACCTGAAGAGGAGGTGCCAGATTTCAGAAGCTCGAGATGGACAGCTGCTGGCGTGTTGCAGGGAAAAGTTGACAGGGGCTTCTATTGGAAACTGTGGGCCCGGTGGGGGGTATTGGTATGACAGCCTAGAAAAGGGTCCCGGCGAGGAATACATGTTATCTTATCGCACTCAAACCGAAAAAAAGAAAAAAAAATTCAATGGCGGATGGAAAGGCGCGTCCCAAGATCGGTCTTGAATCGTCCTACTTTTGATGGCAAGAAAATTGCACATACAAAATCAAACCGCCTGGTTTCTCGTGAGGATCGCCGAGCAACAGGATTTAAAAGGGCAATAGTTGGCACGTAGCCTTTTTTGGAGGCGCCCACAGAAATACCATCTCCTTCCCAGAACACTTTCGCGTCAACGCACGCCAACCTCAACGCCTGGCTCCCTCCGTCTCGCTCGTTTGCCGCCATGTCCGGTGGCTTCGTCATCCCCGGGCTCGGCCACGCGAAGCCGAACGAGAAGCTGCCGACGAACAGTTTTGCCCCCGATGTTTTGGCTGCCGCCGCAAGCCTGGGGCATGGCGTCGCAAATAAAGAGGCTACTGCCACCAACGGAAGCGCATTGGCAGTGGCAGGACGGGCGGGCAACAAGGCTGTAATTCAAGGCGAAGGTGTATCCGAATCTGGACAAATGCCAGGAAAAGGATCAGAGATTGGCGGCTCAGATGCCATGGACATGGACCAGATGACGGAGACAGCCGCGGCCATAGGGCCGATCACCATGGCTGAATCTACGATAAGCGACGCAACGACCGTCATCGCGACCGCCGGCGACGCCTCCGACGCCCAGATCCCAGACGCCCTCGACGCCGCAATTCTCGCCATGGTACAGCCAGAAGGCGAGGCACAAGCACAGGCCAGTACGGCGCCGGGTGATTCTCAACCACAAGAGCAACCGATTGGACAGCCCCCCGCGGAGCAACAAGGAGCCGGTGCTGAATGGGAGGCTGATTCCTCGCCGTACGAGTCTTCCAGTGATTTAAGCAGCTCGGATGACTCAGATGACGACTCGGACGGCGAGCTTATGGGCCTCGACGAGACGGTCAAAATGCTGATGGCGGGTGCAGACGGCTCCGAAGACGAGGGCGACGGCGGCGACAAGGCTGGCAAGGCCGCCCAGATGCGCACCAAGAATGAGCTGCCGGACTGGGTCCCTCCTAAACCATCGGCACTTGCCGATGATGCTGTGATTTGCCAGCTGGGCACCATCACCTCGATCGTGGGAGCGCAGATCCTCATCACCTCGGGCGAGGACGGCGAGGAGAAGGTGCTGGACGTTGAGACGCCTGTGTGTCGAGCCGATAAGTCTGTGATCGCAGCCATTGCCGACGTGATCGGCAATGTGCTCCAGCCAATGTACATCCTTAGATTCGCTACGCCCGAGGATGTGGCCAAGGAGGGGCTCAAGATCGGGGATGCGCTATATTACCCACCGGGCCAAGCCCAGGTTGTGTTGACGCGCCCCCTTCGGAGCCAGAAGGGCTACGACGCCAGCAACTTGCACGACGAGGAGCTGGCCACCGAGGAGATGGAGTTCTCGGACGACGAGCGCGAGCAGGCCTACAAGCGTGAGCTCAAGATGAAGAAGCGTGGCAACCGTGGCCGCGGCGCCAGCGGGCTCGGTGGTGGCTACACAAGAGACAACGGCCGTCCCGGTCCAGGTTCCACGGCCAGCTCCGTGACCGCGGTTGGTGATGCGGGCCTCAATTACGATGACGAAGACGACGATGGACCATACAAGCCTTTGACAAGGCCTGCTAACTTTGGGATGGGCGCGCCGCCCTCTCGCGAGGAGACGCTCGCGACTGCTCACAGGCCCCCTTTTACCCATGGCCATCGGGGAAATAGGGATCACTTTCGCGGAGGCGGGCGTGGCGGTAACCGTGGTGGACGAGGCGGGTTCCGAGGAGGCAGGGGTGGCGGTGGAGGCTACCCCGATGGCCACTCTCAACGCCAACAGCCTCGTCACCAGCAGCAGCAACAGTCTCAGCCGCAACACCAACCCCAGCAACAGCGCCAACCCCAGCCGCAGCAACAGGCACCATCACAGCAGACACCAAGCGTCCCCCAGTGGAACTTCCCTGCTCCGCCACCGTTGCCGTTCGCACCGCCTCAGACCACCGCTCAGCCTGCTGGGGCTCCCTTCACATTCCCAGGATTTCCTCAACCCAATCCATATGGAATGCTTGCACCTCTCACCAACGGGCAATTTCCCCCTCCGCCCATCCCGCCTCCCGTTGCTGGCCAGCCTTCGGCAAACTGGCAGGCAATGAGTGCGCTTTACGCTAATCCGACCTTTGTCCGGGCACTGAGAGACGCTGCGCAAGCGCAGCAACAGCAGCAGCAACAGGGCCAAGGCCAAGGCCAGCCGCACAACCAGCCAGGTTGGGGACATGATCATTAGTGCTGGTAAACACAATCTGGGCTGCCGATGGCGACTATCAATTGTCAGCACTATCGAACTTTTTGACATTGCAGGATAAAGAAGGATTTGGGTTTCTGCACCATTGGGGAAGCATAGCGTCGAGATACCCATGCTGGGATAGCGCTAGGCAATGTTGCCGTGCATTGTGGCGCCGTGCCGGGGCTTGGTTTTCTGGTGGGTTTCGTGTTGTCTCCGGCCTCACACCCTGCACCTTACTCCTTCCGCTGCGGTTGCAACTTGGGCTGAATCGGCCGGGTTGCGCGTCTTGTAATACTGACCAAATGCATTGGATGGTTGATAAAGTGTCCACGAAGGCGCACCTATAGAAAACGACAAGGATGTATGTCCCGTCGCCCGCGCGTGTCGCGCCCGCAGCGCCCTAGCCTCCTAGAATATAATGACATTTCCACAAACATTGCCATGACAGGAAGGTTGCCGTGTTGATTCATGTCCTTACTTGTGCGTGCTTGCCGTGTCGTTGATGATACGTCGGTGGGCAGGAACCCCAACCACTCCCCGACCTCGCTACCCCTGTCCCGAAGGCCCCGGCGGCGATCAGTGAAGACATTCAGTCGTTATCGCAGCCCACTGCTTTGGCTTCAATCAGGGCAGACGGCCTGTCGACGTCTCATGCACGGCAGGGACGACTACAGTACGATTGGCGTGTGGCATCAGGTCAGCAGTGCGGGTAGAGGTATTCAGGGCGTGAGCCACAAGCGTCTCGTCGCCCCTTCAGGTTGCCTCCATGCCTCCCACGTCCTTTTCACCCGATCGACACTCGTCGCGAATCGGGGCGACCGCAAAAATCGCTCCAAACGGATCATGATGAGCGCCAGTGCGCTAATTTGTGCTCCGCGAGGGGAGAACCGCGCGCAGGGAGGGGTTTAGATGACGATCGTCGTCTGATAGCGCCGTTGGCGTGTTTCAGAACGGCGGCTGCGCGGGAAGAGCGGGAGGGTTTGGTGGGCAGCTCGGGCCCGATGTGTCCTGAGCAGGCAAATGATTGGCGCCGAGGAAAACGAAACGAAACAGACCACTGTGCGGGTGCGTTTTCTCCCCGGCACACAGTGGCCGATCATTGCGAACAGGGCCGACTCCATGTTCTGAATGGTTTTTTTTTCTTCGCCAGGGGGGCGCCGGCCCGCGGCGTGTGCAGCTCGCCTGGCCGTCCCAGAAAAAGACCGCATCACGTGGAGGTGCCATGCACACGGACACAACAAAGATGGACAAAAGCATGGGCAAAGTCGATCAACATGCCCACCGCGACGGCCGATCAACTGTGCTGTCTCAGTTCCACGTGCGGCATTTGGGTCCAGTCCCAACCCCTCCAGCTTCTTCAGGTGGGATGGCGGGTTATCACGCGCAAACGCTTGGGCACAGGCAGAGGAAGCAAGCCATCTCAAAGGTGAGGCGGTTGTGCGGTGTAGGCAGAGGTTGGAAATCGCAAAGGAGAGGGACTTTACGAATCGGATCACAGGTAAGCGGTAACTGCACTGATGCTGCGACAAGCACACGAACATATTCACAGTTCAGCACAAGCCAATGTGATGTGAGGGACAAGGCGAGAGACGACACCCCTGTTCCCCCAATCTCGCTTATTGGGCCGACGCAATCCTGTGCCACCGTTGGGGATCCACCCTTCTCGCTGCAGCCAATGGCGCAGCGAGTGCCCCTGGAAATGGTGCTGAGAAGAAAGCTATCCCCGCTGTTCCTTGGCGGGGCTCCATAGCGCAGCACAAAGTCCACGAGGAGCTTGGATCTGCAAGGAACAATTCGACGGGCCCCTTCTGCCCAACAGCCGCGTGCCGAGGTTGCAGGCGGGGCCTGATATTGGCTTGGACAAAAACACAAGCTCTGTGGAACGGGCTTTCTGAAACTGTTTGTCATAACTGCCGGGTGACTCGATTGTTTTTGCATCTTTTTGACCAGACACGGCTGACTTTGTGGTGTGATACCGTCGTTCCTCTCCTTGCGATGCCACGGGTGGGTGGGATCGATGCTCGGAAAGACCGCTATCCAGTCGTCCAAATTGCCACGACTTCACGGGTGATTTCCCTTGGGTTGCTGGTGCCGGCGACCTCAAGCGGGTGGAGGTTGTATCCATTTCTGACCCAAGAGTGCAAATGAGCGAAAATGCAACAAGATGGTGTGGGGCAGTCATCCCTGCACATCTTTTTGCACGATGCTTTTAGCAAACCCCCATGCCCCTTGCAGCAGACATGGACGCCAAGCTCGATTGAGAGCAGCCACACACACCACCTCGCCGTAGGCTGGGGGTGGGTGTGGACCCCTGGCCTCGGTGGGAACCGTTGGAGCTGGTCGCTTGGGTCGCTGGGACGGCGGGAACATCTCCCAGCCAGTCGCTCCCGCCTTCTTTCTTCTTCTTTACACTCGCTCCCCCCCAGGCACTGTCATTGTTGTCCGTGTGCGGCTTTGTTGCGACCTGCCGTGGTAGATTTCCCTTTCTACCGTCCATTCTCTTTCAAAGTCTGCCTTCGCCAGCAGCCCCGGGTTATTTCGGTCTCCCTTTCATTCCTTCGCTTTCTGTTTGCGAAATCAATCATTAGCGGTGTTGGACGCCGAGAACAGCAGTTTTGTAGCTCGGCACACTCTTTAGAGGCGAGCTTTTCCAGACGACAGACAGCTTTCACCATTCGCTGAATACCATACACCAACGGTTTTTCGTTTTCGACCGACTTCGATCTGTAAAATCTGTCTCGCGCACCCGAGCGCCATATCGCGACCAAGACATCGCACCCTCCCACCCGACATTCCAGTGGGGGAAGGAACGCACACGCACATTCACGATGCACAACAACAGGCATATGCAGCGTCACAAGCTGCATCAGGGGCTGAAGAGGACCGTTGCGGAGGAAGTGATTGCGGAGCTGGAGAAGAGGCAAAACGGATGGGACCGCTTCACTGACGGAGTGAAGAGTGTCATCTCGGATATCAAGGCTCCTTTTGCTGCCTCCCAGACTACCGAAACTCCCGCGTCAACTCGCAACGCAGCTCCCACCCAGAAGCCCAAGCCCAAGGACGATGACGATGACGACGATGGGAAAGTGACGAAGCCGGCACCAAAGGCCACCACCACTGCTGCACCGTCACCAAGGACCACAACGACCCTGAACAGGGCCGTCTCATCCTCGAGTGTTCAGCAGCGTTCCAGCGTTGGTCTACCAGCTTCTGTTATGCCCACGGCCACAGCCGACATCATTGCTGAGACCAGTCTCGCTGTTGCAACCGACAAGCCAACACTGCCGCCTGTGGCGATCGAGACCCCGACGCCTACGTCTCTGTCCCCCGCTCAGACTTCGGCCGCAGGAGCCAGGGCAGACGCTCAAAGGGCGGAGCAGGAGGCGGGCAGCACTGCGGCCAAGGCAGGCATCGCTTTCGGCGTTATTGGTGGTGTTCTCATCGTCTTCATGGTCATCTGGTTCATCATGAAACAACGCAAAGATCAACTGGAGCGCCAGCGCCTTGACGACGAGCGCTTCAACGACGAGAAGTTCAACCGTGAATTCGCCAGCCAGAGCGCCTCCAACGCACCGGCAGCGCCCCTCGCCGCTGGCGCCATCGCAACCGACAGACCCAGGACCGGCAACAAGGACGAGGAGAAGCAGCTTCCCGTCTTCCCCAAGAACACCGACAACGCATGGGAGAGACCCACAACCGGCAACAGCACGAACCCGTCCAACCCCTTTGGAAACCACGCCGAGACGTTTGACTACCGCCCAGTCAGCCCACTCTCTGATATCGGCGTCGCTTCGAGCACAACCCCCGTTTCGCCCATCACGGGCGGCGTCGCCACTGGCGCTGCCGTGGTTGGTGTTGCTGCAGCCGGCGCACTCACTCGGAAAGCATCTCTGCGCAAAGACCTGCCCCGCCCGCCCGACCTGACGCTCGACACCCCTGCCGATGCTCCCACAGCTGCACAGCAGCCTGGTGCCACATCACCCGGCGGCGCTGCCATCGCTGCCGCCGGTGGACCGCCAACGTCTGCTGTCTACCGCGTCCAGATCGACTTCCAGCCCACCATGGAGGACGAGCTGGAGCTCAAGGCCGGAGAGCTAATCCGGCTACTTTTTGAATATGACGACGGCTGGGTAAGTCCACTGATTAAGGAACAAGTTTGCACATTATTGCCAATGCTAACCTCATATCCAGGCTCTGTGCATCCGCCTCGACCGCTCCAAACAGGGAGTCGTGCCGAGGACTTGCCTGTCAGCACGTCCCGTCAAGCCCCGTCCCGGTCCCGGGAGGCCAGGACCGCAACAGCCCATGAGCCGCGGCCCAGGCTCCCTCGAGCGCAAACCCGTGCCGGGCCAGGCCTACTAAGTCATCTCATCCATCGATTGGAGTGAAGAAAGATGGGCCTACCGGGGGACCCCATCAACCCCAGAGGCACTTCGACCTCATCCCCGGCTGGACAATTCTTTCTTGCACCGGCGAGCTGCGCGCCTGCAGGTCTTTCCGGTGTTTCCGTTCTTTCGATCATGATAAATACCTCCTTTCCTTGATGACTTTTTGGCCTCGCACTCTTCTTTTTGTCATACCCCACCTTGTTCTTCTCCATTTGTTCACTCTTCTCGACACTCATTCCATATCTCCTTTTGTCCAAAACCCACAGCCTCCCTCACCCAAGCTGCGCTCCTGACTGTAATCCTTTGTGTGGGGAAGTGTCTGTTTGCGTAGCGGGCGCTTGACTTCTTGTCCATACTTGTCCATCAACTTTTTTTGAGCGATCTGCTAGATAAAACCGACTCTGTAGCAACCTGCACGTGGCCTGACCTCGTGCAGGGCCTTGTAACATTACAATCTTTTCTGTCTTGCTTGCAGTGCTAATGCTCGGAGGGCCGAGAATGCTTTAGGCGGGCCAAATTGGCCCGTGCTCAACAAATGACTCATCTCCTTCTCCACACCTTCCTGAATTTATTGCGGGTCACCTGGTGTGTTTGACGCAAAGTGTTGTCCGCAGGACAACCCGAGTCCAAAGGCAGCCAAAATCACAAGCAACTTTGTGGAGAAAACAAAGGAAAGCAAAAGGGAACAGGCAGGAGAAACCAAGAGAAGCGATGAAAGATTTACGGTTCTCTGGTTGCGTCGGACCGTTGCTGGGCTAGACACAGGCCAGACAATCACAGGACGCCAGTCTTTGTGGATTCCGCGGTTATGACTGGCTTTTTCTGTCTGCTTACGGAAACATGTCATCACAAGGCAGCAGCAGTCCAATGGCGGCACTTCCAGACAAAGAAGACATGTATAAAATTACCAGGAACAGATGCCGGGACTGGCAAAGTACGGTTACCCAAACAATACACATCGACCGGTTCGGTACTGGACTAGCATGCCGGATCCGGGACGGTAGAGACAGCAGGCCGACACACAAAACATGGCGACCCGCGGCCGGTGGGCGGCCGACGGGGCCTTGCCCCGATCGGAAGAAACCACCATACATCAGTGTCCGACAGAACCAGGCGCCACGATGCCGAAGATTATGAGAGCCTCCAGGCGCAAGTCTGTGGCCAGCAACGTCTCTTCGAGGAGAGGTAGCACCGTGCTCGTGGCCCCCCTGTCTCCGGGCCGCGGCGGCGCAGCTCGTGCCCCAAGGACGAGGGGTGCCGCGGCTCGTGGTAGGACGAAAAGGGGAGAGCGGGCGGCGGCCCCGAGGGAGAAGACGAAGAAGGTGGCGCCCCGGGCGGCGGCGGTGGGCTCCCCGCCGGTCCTCAACGAGATCCCGACGCAGCCGCTCGACGTGTACACGTTCGGCTCGGGCGGCAGCGGCGAGCTGGGGCTCGGGGCGGACGTGCCCGTGCCCGGCAACCCCGAGAGCACGATCCTGCTCAGGCGGCCGCTGCGGAACCCCGCGCTGGCCATGGCGGCCGGCGACGGCGACCCCGTGGTGCAGGTGTCGGCGGGCGGCATGCACTGCGCGGCCGTGACGGCGGCGGGCCGGGTCGTGACGTGGGGCGTCAACGACACGGGCGCCCTGGGCAGGCGCACCGACGTCGGCGGCGGCGAGGACGACGACGACAACGAGTTCGGGCTCAACAAGCTCGAGAGCACGCCGACCGAGATCCCCGAGAACAGGTTCGGTCCTGCGCCCGCTCCCAAGTTCGCACAGGTCGCCGCTACCGACAACGCCACCTTTGCGCTCACCGAGGACGGGAACGTGTGGGGGTGGGGGACTTTCAGGGTAAGAAAAGAGGATATAAAAATGACCAGGAAAAGAAGCCAAAGCTGACTTTTATCTCCAGAACCAAAACGGCATCTTCGGCTTCCTCAAGTCCTCCCTCGTCGACAAGCCCAACCCCACCGACCAAGACCGGATCCAGCTCAGGCCCGTGCGCATCCCGGGCCTGCCCGCTAACAAGGTCACCTCCCTCTCGGCCGGGTCCGACCACGTGCTCGCCCTAACCCGCACGGGCGACGTCTACGCCTGGGGCGGCTCGGGCGCCCACGGCGAGCTCGGGCGCCGCCT